AGCCCCTTGCCCTCATATCCCAGCTCCTTGCCCTCATATCCCTTCCAAGTGCTGTATAATCGTACTAGCATTGCGCCTAAATTGTCTTCATAATAAACTTAGTTATTTTGATAACTATGAAATATTTTGTAATAGTCACTACAATGTTATTGAGAAACTGTTAGTGTTTCCACAGGTGCACAACGTGAGTTATTTAGACTGAGTGAGAGGGTAATGATCCCAGAACAGTCGCCCAGTAAACAACTCTTGAGAGGTCTTGAAGATTTAAAGAGATTCAAGAAGGCTCTTGAAGTGGAGATCAAAGAAGCTGTAACTATAAAGTATCGCTGCATAATTGACTAAACTCTCGTATTAATTGTAATCATATTAATTAGATAGACTTTAGATCATTTAGTAAATTCTTTGTTACAGTTATCACTTGATTATAAAATAAATTACAGTCCTTGGATCTAACTCCAAGCCGGAACCCCTGTAAGCTGAAAACTTGGTCTGGTCGGCAGGGTGTTCGGCTTAAAGGAGTTTATCAGTGCCCAGCCGGAGATGAAAATCTGTCCTGGAGGCTGCGGGTCCCCGAGGCCAGCGATAGAGACGGGAAGGTCACAGACATTCCAGGAAGATGGCGCTGCAGGACCCCGTCTGACAGTGGAAACCTGCCCCCTCCCTCCCTCTCACTTCTCCCTCACTCACTTCTCCCTCCCTCGCTTCTCCCTCCCTCACTTCTCCCTCCCTCGCTTCTCCCTCCCTCACTTCTCCCTCCCTGAGTTCTTTCTCCCTCTTCCTCTGTCCACCATTCTTCCCCTCACCTCTGTAACATGCATATACAGACGAGGAGTCACAATAACGTGGCTGAAATATGTTGACCAGACCACACACTAGAAAGTGAAGGGACGACGACGTTTCGGTCCGTCCTGGACCTTTCTCAAGTCGATTGTGATTGGACCATCCTCAAGTCGATTGTGATTGGACCATCCTCAAGTCGATTGTGATTGGACCATCCTTAAATTGATTGTGATTGGACCATCCTCAAGTCGATTGAGAATGGTTCAGGACGGACCGAAACGTCGTCGTCCCTTTACTTTCTAGTGTGTGGTTTAATCAACATGCATATATATATTACACATATATTTCAGTCTATCCTTGGCCATCGGGAAATTATAGAAGGGAAAACCGTCGGACCTAAGTTCGGTCCCCGGAGAGAACAAAAAACAACTGAGCCTGTGTTCACCTCGCAGTGTTAAAAATAGGACCCCGAGAGTTAGACAACTGTTGTGGGTCGCATCCTAAGGGAACGTCAGTAGTCAGCCTAAGGGGGGGGGGGGACCTCAATAAACTTAAGTAAACACTTCGTGTCCTCCGAAAAGGCGAATTAAATATTAGCTTTTAGTATATTTCAATTTAGCCTCCAACCCACCCTCCCTCCCTCCCTCTTGATATTCTACTGACCCTGAACGCCATCGGGGTTCATGCCAGTCTTTAAAGAATCCTGTCGCCAGAAGTCAATATTAGTCACGTGAGAGCTCACACATTCTACTCACGCAGCCAGCTCCAATGGCGCATTGTGTCCAATGGGAGATTGTGCCCAATGGGAGATTGTGTTTAATGGGAAATTATGCCCAATGGGAGATTGGGCATATCTTGTGTTTAATGGGAGATAATGTATAGAGTATTAGAGAAATGTGACCAGGGAAGTCATAGACTTAGTTCCCTGGGAAAGTCTCTTCGCTAAGGCTATAGACTAGACTCGCCCAGACTAGACCCCGCAGTCTCGACACTGCCACCCTGTCTCTTCTCCCAGCACCTGTGACACCCGCTATGCCACCCTTTATGACACTCTCTGCCAGACTGTGATAACGTAGGTCTGCAAGTTTTGCTGGAAGTTAAACTAATGAGGGGCCGTGGCGTTGCATGAAGGGGTATGATTACAGTGGGAAATAAGACACATGATGAGCTTGGGGTTGCTTTGAAACTAATACAAGAATGAGGTTCCAGGAAATAGCACTAATCAGCGGCTCGTTGTTGCTCGAAGCTAAAGAGATGAGTGATTTCCAATTACTGGAAGCTAAAGTTGTGAAGGCTTTCAAGGTTTTCTTGCCGGTAAAAGGTAATCTTATGAAAAGCTTACGACTTGCGAAAGCGAAACTGATGAGGAGTTGTGTGTGGCTGACATTAACCATAAGGACAAAGAGGAACATTGATGTTGATGGTTTTATTATTACTCGAGGCTGCATTGATGACGGGAGTGTGTCTTGCTGTAGGTGTAACCTAACTTCATATTAATTATGATCATTTATAGTGGCACTGCCATAAAGCAGTGCCACTATGAAATTATTGCCGGCGACCATTTTTGTCTAAGACGAGGGTTCAATAAGACAGGAGCTTTATTGAAACTGTAAGCTAAGAGATGTTATCCAACATCAGCTCATCTTAAGTCTCACCGTAGAAACTAATCTATTTTAATAAGCTTTTTATTATTAATCTTTGATTAGGAACAAACATCAATTCCAATAGTTTACAGTCGTGTTAAGTATTGGATGAACACTAGATATAAGTGTACTACAAAGTCTGTATATGATGGTTGGATGATTTTATTTCACGCTTAATTACATGTTAAGAGAACACGTTTCAGATGCGAAAAAGCCTTGGAATGACTGAACTTGGCTTGCCGTCCTCCTGGTTGAGTGATATTCTTAAGACCCCAACATGAGATTGTTGACAGATGATCGTCTTGTGTTGTGGTTTCCAACTTCTTCTTGTCCACAAACTTGGCCAGTTGGAGAATCTTGAGAAAATATATATATATATATATATATATATATATATATATATATATATATATATATATATATATATATATATATATATATATATATATATATATATATATATATATATATATATATTATATATATATATATATATATATATATATATATATATATATATATATATATATATATATAATATATATATATATATATATATATATATATATATATATATATATATATATATATATATATATATATATATATATATATATATATATATATATATATATATATATATAAACCAGTGTTGAGAACTCACATGTACTGACCATTCAGCGAGAACGAGCCAAGACTAGAGGATCAACCTGTCCTCTTAATAATAACGTCGTTTTTGGCCGTTTGCCCGTATGGCCGAAAGTGGACGTAATTTGAAAATGAAAAAAAATGAAAATAAATTTGAGATTATTTTTCAACGACAGTTAGTTAAGGGTCCTCTGGTAGGTTAGGTTGGGCAGGAAATTTTCATAAAGTTTCAAAACGTTATGAAAATCGTTAATTGAAAGTTTCCTCTCCTAACCTTTCCGAGTAAGCCGGACGACTCAAACAGAAAACGGGACAGTACGTCACTTTCGTGAGCCGATTTCATTTCAAATTACGTCCACTTTTGTCCATAGCACATACGATCGAAAAGCGACGTTATTTTTAAGAGGACGGGTTGAGAGATGAGCCTTCTTGCACGGTTCTCCACTTTGTCCAAAATTCTGGTATACGAGGGTGGCAGGACATCCAGGAGAGAGGTGCGTACTCAAGATGGGAGCGTCCTTGAGCCTCACGTAAGGTTTTGCAACCCCTGCTATCAAGAAGATATGAGATTCGCCTTAAGGCAGAAAGTTTCTTGGCTGCCTTGCTTGCTTTAGGTTATGCATCTAACTTTTCATGGTCATTGTAGAAGCAAACCTCATTCCCAAGATGTCCACTTCTTCACGCAACACTAGCTTCTTGCCACATATTTGTTTACTTCTCTCATTTGCAATACCATGTTGTTATCACCATCGCCTGTGTCTTTCTTCTGCAAATGTGACTTGCCACCTCTCTCTCTCTCTCTCTCTCTCTCTCTCTCTCTCTCTCTCTCCAAATGACAACGTGTTCACGGCCTCACACGTGATTCCTTCATGTGTTATTGCCTTTTCCTCGTAATTTTCCTCGGGAGGGTTACCTCTTTGAACATTCTTTAATATTCCCCGAAGATGGCAACATGAGAAACCTTTCTTCTTTCCGGAGAAGATTAATGCATTACTGTATTCTGACGAGGGAGAAATGAAAGGAACTATCAGGAGAGAGCGCCATGCCATTGCGACTATATAGAGGGGGAGAAGAAATGGTCGTTTCTCTACAGTCATTTTTTTCTCTTTTCTGAAGAAAATCACGTCAGCGGCCGGGATGATGAAGCCTCTCATAGGTAAAGCTCAATGTTTTGACTTTTGTTTTCTCCCCCTCTCTCTCTCTCCAGAATTTGTCCCTTTCATATTAGAGTGGAATAGACGTCGTATCTGCGTCTTACTGCGACCGCGTGTGGTCTCTTGCTTCACTTCGTCGCCCTTGTTGTTGCTTCTATTTTTCTTGTTTCTTTCTCTGCATCACCTCCCTTCCCTCCCACACAACAGAGCCTACCTTCCTTCCCTCCCACACAACAGAGCCTACCTTCCTTCCCTCCCACACAACAGAGCCTACCTTCCTTCCCTCCCACACAACAGAGCCTACCTTCCTTCCCTCCCACACAACAGAGCCTACCTTCCTTCCCTCCCACACAACAGAGCCTACCTTCCTTCCCTCCCACACAACAGTGCCGACCTTCCTTCCCTCCCACACAACAGAGCCTACCTCCCTTCCCTCCCACACAACAGAGCCTACCTCCCTTCCCTCCCACACAACAGAGCCTACCTCCCTTCCCTCCCACACAACAGAGCCTACCTTCCTTCCCTCCCACACAACAGAGCCTACCTTCCTTCCCTCCCACACAACAGAGCCTACCTTCCTTCCCTCCCACACAACAGAGCCTACCTTCCTTCCCTCCCACACAACAGAGCCTACCTTCCTTCCCTCCCACACAACAGAGCCTACCTTCCTTCCCTCCCACACAACAGAGCCTACCTTCCTTCCCTCCCACCTGCCACAGGGGACCACATCCTCCTCCCCGTGGTGTAACAAAGCTTGCCCTCCTCCACAGGTAGTGGGGTAAGGTACAGCATCACCGGCGGCAACAGAGACGGACTCTTCACTATAGACCAGCACTCTGGGGTCATCTCCCTGGCGGCGGCACTTGACCACGACCTCGACCACAAGGTAGGTGATCGCCACTCATATGAGGAGTGCCGGAGGGCCTCAATGAGGGAGTTAGTAGTGCTGGAGGACCAGAGTGAAAGAGTTAATAGTGGTGAGGGCCACAGTGAGGGAGATAGTGGTGAGGGCCACAGTGAGGGAGATAGTGATGAGGGCCACAGTGAGGGAGTTAGTGTATTTCAGCAGCGCGCGGCTAGTATCGAAACGCGCAGAGTCGGGAAAGATATACAGACACGCTGTGTATAATGTATTTTATCCTTCGCGGTTGTATTTTTTGATAAGCTCTTCCTAATGCCATGCGGACGCGTAGCATGAGCTGGTGGTGGCGGCGGAGGCGGCCGGGGCCATGACGCACGCCATCGTCCAGGTGGAGGTCGACGACGTCAACGACAACCCTCCGTACTTCCTCCGGCCGGAGCCCACCATCACGGTCATCGAGGAGGACGACCGCGACCTCCCGCTCGTTATTGCCAAGGTCAGTAGTGTCGAGGGGTGAAGGTGGTGTGGGAGGGGGATGGAAGTGGTGTGGGAAGGCGAGGAGGTGGTGTGGGAAGGGGAGGAGGTGGTGTGGGAAGGGGAGGAGGTGGTGTGGGAAGGGGAGGAGATGTTGTAGGAGAGCGGGTGGAGGTGGTGTGGGAAGGGGAGGAGGCGGTGTGGGAGGGCGTGGAGGTGGTGAAGGGAAGGAATTAGCAAGTAAACTTTGAAGAAAGCATTTTTCAACTTCCTTGTCAAATGAAAAACCATAATTAATATAGAAATGACTCGGACCAGAATCATTGACCTAACCCTTTTGGTTACATTATACATGCTGTAATGTCTCTATGTCCGGGGTGGCTTTCTGGAAACGTGGACATAAATTGAAACATTTTCCCATAAAATTCACTGGCATGATGTGAGAATGCGTCACAACGAGGGACTTTTTTTTCCAAAATACATGAGAAAAAAGGGTTATGTGCAATACAAGTAGAATACAGTTGAACTTACCAGAGGCAGCGGAGGAGGTGTGTTGAGGCTTGGTGAAGGTTGACTAGGCTTTGTGAGGGCTGATTACGACTAGTAAGAGGCTTGATGTGGGCTGGTGAGAGGGAAATGTTACTTAAATAGTTAGTTACTCAAAGAAGCAAGACGCTCTTCTTTCCCTTCCCTTCCTACCAGGGTATTTCACTGCTTTATGCTTAATCATCAAGAAGCTAACTGTTTACATAACCTTGAATTCAAACACTTAACTATTTAAAAATAAATAACAAAAACAATCTCTGATATATATGAGTTTTGTAACACTTAATGGAGTCACACGCTTGCACTCAATCAGCGTTCGTAAGAATTAAGAGCAGAGGCAATGAATGCACACTGCATTCAAACATCAAACACTTTCATTTTGATCACTAAACTGATGGTTTTCCCAGCTATCCCTGGGCACAAGGCTTCACTATCACTTGACAGACACTTTCCGTTTGTGATTGCTGGGGGTTGCTAAAGTTATATTGTCTTAAATGAAAAAATAAACGCGAGGGACACGAGCAGCACCGCCACAATGTCAACGTAAACATTGAGACAGGGTGGTCGCTTACGGTCCGGCTACACCGCCTAGTTTCCACACAGAAAACGTAAAAAAATTATTTTCATTATTTCATTTCAAATTTTACGCATTTATATATATATATATATATATATATATATATATATATATATATATATATATATATATATATATATATATATATATATATTATTAAATATGACCGAAAAAGTAAGATTAATAATTCTAACACGAATTTTCTCAATCTTTCGTACATTTCTTTTCACTGTTGGTGGTAATTCAAAAATCAATTCTCCAAAATTCATTTTTATTTCTAGTCTGACGCGACACTTGAGCGCGTTTCGTAAAACTTATTACATTTTCAAAGACTTTAGTTAACACATACACAACTGAATAGAACTTACACATCTCCGATTTGTTTATATCTACATTTGAGTGAGGTGGATGGGGTGAGGTGGTATTAATAGGGTATTAATTTCATCAACACAAGACAGAACACGAAACAATGGGTATTAAATGGAAGTGATTGTAGAAAGCCTATTGATCCATATTTCTTGATGCTTTTATATTTTAGCGGAGTCTTGAGGTGGGTAGAATATAGTTGTGCATTAGTTGGCTGTTGATTGCTGGTGTTGACTTTTTAATGTGTAGTGCCTCGCAAACGTCAAGCCGTCTGCTATCGCTGTATCTATCGATGATTTCTGTGTTGTTTACTAGGATTTCTCTGGCGATGGTTTGGTTGTGGGAAGAGATTATATGTTCCTTAATGGAGCCCTGTTGCTTATGCATCGTTAAACGCCTAGAAAGAGATGTTATTGTCTTGCCTATATACTGGGTTTTTTGGAGCTTACAATCCCCAAGAGGGCATTTGAAGGCATAGACGACGTTGGTCTCTTTTAAAGCGTTCTGCTTTGTGTCTGGAGAGTTTCTCATGAGTAGGCTGGCCGTTTTTCTGGTTTTATAGTAAATCGTCAGTTGTATCCTCTGATTTTTGTCTGTAGGGATAACGTTTCTATTAACGTTATCCCTACAGACAAAATAGGTGTTGTGTTAGTTGTCTCTTCAGAGGTTGCATGGCGTTTCACTTTCCTTCTTATGATGTCTTCGATGAAACCATTGGAGAAGCCGTTGTTGACTAGGACCTGCCTTACCCTACAGAGTTCTTCGTCGACTTGCTTCCATTCTGAGCTGTGGCTGAGAGCACTGTCGACATATGCGTTAACAACACTCCTCTTGTACCTGATCTTGAGACAACTAACACAACACCTATACCCCCTATTAGACTATTTTACAGGAACTTCTTTTCCACAGCTCATAAAACGGAGGAAAGGGTCCTGAAAGATATTGTTAATAGAAACGTTATCCCTACAGACAAAAATCAGAGGATACAACTAACGATTTACTATAAAACCAGAAAAACGGCCAGCCTACTCATGAGAAACTCTCCAGACACAAAGCAGAACGCTTTAAAAGAGACCAACGTCGTCTATGCCTTCAAATGCCCTCTTGGGGATTGTAAGCTCCAAAAAACCCAGTATATAGGCAAGACAATAACATCTCTTTCTAGGCGTTTAACGATGCATAAGCAACAGGGCTCCATTAAGGAACATATAATCTCTTCCCACAATCAAACCATCGCCAGAGAAATCCTTGTAAACAACACAGAGATCATCGATAGATACAGCGATAGCAGACGGCTTGACGTTTGCGAGGCACTACACATTAAAAAGTCAACACCAGCAATCAACAGCCAACTAATGCACAACTATATTCTACCCACCTCAAGACTCCGCTCCAATATAGAAGCATCAAGAAATATGGACCAATAGGCTTTCTACAATCACTTCCATTCAATACCCATTGTTTCGTGTTCTGTCTTGTGTTGATGAAATTAATACCCTATTAATACCACCTCACCCCATCCACCTCACTCAAATGTAGATATAAACAAATCGGAGATGTGTAAGTTCTATTCAGTTGTGCATGTGTTAACTAAAGTCTTTGAAAATGTAATAAGTTTTACGAAACGCGCTCAAGTGTCGCGTCAGACTAGAAATAAAAATGAATTTTGGAGAATTGATTTTTGAATTACCACCAACAGTGAAAAGAAATGTACGAAAGATTGAGAAAATTCGTGTTAGAATTATTAATCTTACTTTTTCGGTCATATTTAATAATATATGTATACAGGAAAGACTGCTACCAAAATATACTAATATATATATATATATATATATATATATATATATATATATATATATATATATATAACTGAAAACTCACACCCCAGAAGTGACTCGAACCCATACTCCCAGGAGCAACCACAACTGGTATGTACAGGGACGCCTTAATCCGCTTGACCATCACGACCGAACATAAGGAAGTGATAGCCGAGGCTATTTGAACCACTTCCCCGCCGGCACTCGGATGGTAATCTTGGGCATAGCATTTTATCAAATCACCTCATTCTTTGGGACACACGTGAGGAACACAAATGCAAACAAGCCTGAATGGTCCCCAGGACTATATACAACTGAAAACTCACACCCCAGAAGTGACTCGAACCCATACTCCCAGGAGCAACCACAACTGGTATGTACAGGGACGCCTTAATCCGCTTGACCATCACGACCGGACATAAGGAAGTGATAGCCGAGGCTATTTGAACCACTTCCCCGCCGGCACTCGGATGGTAATCTTGGGCATAGCATTTTATCAAATCACCTCATTCTTTGGGGCACACGTGAGGAACACAAATGCAAACAAGCCTGAATGGTCCCCAGGACTATATACAACTGAAAACTCACACCCCAGAAGTGACTCGAACCCATACTCCCAGGAGCAACCACAACTGGTATGTACAGGGACGCCTTAATCCGCTTGACCATGCATTTGTTTGCATTTGTGTTCCTCACGTGTGCCCCAAAGAATGAGGTGATTTGATAAAATGCTATGCCCAAGATTACCATCCGAGTGCCGGCGGGGAAGTGGTTCAAATAGCCTCGGCTATCACTTCCTTATGTCCGGTCGTGATGGTCAAGCGGATTAAGGCGTCCCTGTACATACCAGTTGTGGTTGCTCCTGGGAGTATGGGTTCGAGTCACTTCTGGGGTGTGAGTTTTCAGTTGTATATAGTCCTGGGGACCATTCAGGCTTGTTTGCATATATATATATATATATATATATATATATATATATATATATATATATATATATATATATATATATATATATATATATATATATATATATATATATATATATATATATATATATATATATATATATATATATATATATATATATATATATATATATGTCATACCTAGTAGCCAGAATGCACTTATCAGCCTACTATGCAAGGCCCGATTTGCCTAATAAGCCAAGTTTTCATGAATTAATTGTTTTTCGACTACCTAACCTACCTAACCTAACCTAACCTAACCTAACTTTTTGGGCTACTTAACCTAACCTAACCTATAAAGATAGGTAGGGTTGGTTAGGTTTGGTCATATATCTACGTCAATTTTAACTCCAATACAAAAAAATTGACCTCATACATAATGAAATGGGTAGCTTTATCATTTCATAAGAAAAAAATTTGAGAAAATATATTAATTCAAGAAAACTTGGCTTATTAGGCAAATCGGGCCTTGCATAGTAGGCCGAGAAGTGCGTTCTGGCTACTAGGTACGACATATATATATATATATATATATATATATATATATATATATATATATATATATATATATATATATATATATATATATGTCGTACCTAGTAGCCAGAACGCACTTATATATATATATATATATATATATATATATATATATATATATATATATATATATATATATTAATTATAAGTAGCGTTCTGGCTACTAGGTACGACATATATATATATATATATATATATATATATATATATATATATATATATATATATATATATATATATATATATGTCGTACCTAGTAGCCAGAACGCACTTCTCAGCCTACTATGCAAGGCCCGATTTGCCTAATAAGCCAAGTTTTCTTGAATTAATATATTTTCTCAAATTTTTTTCTTATGAAATGATAAAGCTACCCATTTCATTATGTATGAGGTCAATTTTTTTTTATTGGAGTTAAAATTAACGTAGATATATGACCGAACCTAACCAACCCTACCTAACCTAAGCTAACCTATCTTTATAGGTTAGGTTAGGTTAGGTAGCCGAAAAAGCTAGGTTAGGTTAGGTAGGTTAGGTAGTCGAAAAAACATTAATTCATGAAAACTTGGCTTGTTAGGCAAGTCGGGCCTTGCATAGTAGGCTGAGAAGTGCGTTCTGGCTACTAGATACGTCATATGTCTATATATATATATATATATATATATATATATATATATATATATATATATATATATATATATATATATATATATATATATACTGGGTCAGGTGATAATACAATAAAGGTGAAAACATGGGGGGATACATAAGGGATGTGAGGTGAAACATAGAGGCTGCAGAAGGCTTATTGGCCCATACGAGCAGCTCCTATCTAAACACAAAGATTAATCCAGTGTAATTGGCCTATTATGTTGGACATTGTCTTCTGTGTTGGCATCGATATGTTCTTGTCTTGTCCTTACTCTCATGGTGGGTAGAGTAAATAGTTCCGTGATTTGGGTGTTCATGGTAGGTCGCTCTATTCTTATGTGAACTGCCTGAAGAATATGTAATCTTCTTGCATCTTGGGTTTTGTCTATTATGCAGGTATTCTTGTTCAACATTTCTCTGGTTAGAGTAATGTTATGGGCTTGTCTCATGTGATTCCTAGGGGCACCAGATTGAAGATGGCATGTCAAACGCCTCGCCAGCTTGGTCGACGTCATACCTATGTACTTACATTGAAGGTTACATCCTTCGTGGGGGCAAGTGTACATGTATACAACGCTTGACTGCTGTAGAGGGTTCTCCGTCGGCTTCAGGCTGTTTTTGATAAGGAGTTCGGAAGTCTTCTTGGTTTTGTAGAATATTATAGGTTTATGTTTTGATTAGGAGTAGTGCTTTTTACTCCTTTACGGATTATTTCTTTCATTATTCTTTCCTCTTTTATATGTTCACTGTGCATGGTTGATTTGTAATATAATTTTATTGGGGGTGTTGTGGTTTCTGTTCTAGGTTCTGAATTATACCAACGGTCCAAGTGTCTTCTTATAGCAGCGTTTATTTCCGCGTTGCTATATCCGTTGTTCACCAATACCTGAGTTACTCTTTCAAACTCTCTACTCACGTTGCTCCATTCAGAGCAGTGGGTAAGCGCTCGACGAATATAAGCATTGAGAACACTGGCTTTGTATCTTTGGGGGCACTCACTTCTACCGTTCAGGCATAATCCTATGTTGGTGGGCTTGGTATATACGTTGGTGCTTAAAGAGGTTCCTGTTTTTGTTATTAGTACATCCAGGAATGGCAGACTTATTTTCACTATTTTCATGTGTAAATCGGAGTACTGACTCTCTCTCTAGGTGTCTTTTTAGGTCAATTAGTTCATCTGAGTCTTTTACTATTACGAATATGTCATCTACATAACGGCAGTATACAGTTGGTTTTTGTCTGCTACTGAAGACCCTATCTTCGATGGTTCCCATATAAAAATTAGCAAATAAAACTCCTAAGGGGGAGCCCATTGCTACTCCGTCTATTTGTAAATACATGTCTCCTTGTGGACTGATGAAAGGGGCTTCCTTTGTACATGCTTCGAGAAGACTTTTCAAGTGTGGCTCAGGTATGTCTAATTTGGGGGTGCTCTCGTCTCTGTATACTCTGTCCAGTATCATTCCTATGGTTGTGTCGACTGGGACGTTGGTAAACAGGGATTCAACGTCCAGGGAAGCGATGATACCTTCGGGCTGGGTAGATTTGATCAATTCTAGGAAAAAATTTCCTAGAATTGATCAAATCTACCCAGCCCGATGGTATCATCGCTTCCCTGGACGTTGAATCCCTATTTACCAACGTCCCAGTCGACACAACCATAGGAATCCTTGGTTCATGCCCGGCGTCGGAGGAGTTCGAGGAAATGTACAGCCTCTAGGAAGCGAACTTTTTTTTGTGTCCTCTTAATGTTAATTTTTTGTATAAAATCAGATATGTAACTGTATAACCTTGCATAACAGTGTACACCATACAAAAGGGGGGTGATAGGAGAAGCGAACACTCTTACGTATTCAGAGTTAAATGGCAAGTTTTTCCCTGAATGCTCTGTGTTCCCTTCTCTGAGGCTGTGGGTCCCTATAATTGCACCAGTGGTGGTACCCCCCAATATATATATATATATATATATATATATATATATATATATATATATATATATATATATATATATATATATATATATATATATATATATAATGTTTCCCATTGTTGTGTTCTTCAAGAGATCCATAACCTTTAAGCACCTTTTTGCATTATTATTTTTGTATCAACCCATGTATATCTTGTAACCATCAAATGCATAATAAAGCACAAAAAATATTCAAGGAAGGGGGTGGTAGGAGAAAAGCACACAGAAACTGTATTGGAGGGGATCTAAACATTCCCTCTAATGCGTTATGCGTGGTTTCCTCCGAGGCTATGGGTCCCCCTTCTTCCAGCTAGAGGTGGTACTCTTATATTATTTAAAAAAAAAAAAAATATATATATATATATATATATATATATATATATATATATATATATATATATATATATATATATATATATATGACAGTGTCACGAAGGAAGAATTGAAACAGGAATTCCTTAAGTACTTTCGTATTTAATAATACATCTTCAGAAGGGTGTATTAATAAATACACTTATTTAATAATTATTAAATACGAATGTCAGAGTTACACAGTAAGTGATAAGTGCCAGGGTTAGGCAGAGTGCCTGGGCTCATGTACCCCCCTCCCTTCCTCCCCTCAGGTAGAAGCCAGAGACAGAGACCGCGGGGATCGGTACGGACTTCGCTACAGCCTGCGAGGGGACGGCGTCGACGGCCTGACCCCCAACAACGCCTTCTTCACCATCAACCCCCTCACCGGGGAGCTCCTCCAGCTCAGGGTGATGTTTACCTACGGTCTTACCCACCGTTACTTGGTACTTCTTCCTGTTGAGCGGTGCTCTTTTGTGCCAGTGGTCCTTAGTGCCACTGGTGGTGCTCTGTGCTAGTGGTGGTGCTTGGTGTTGCTGCTGGTGGTGGTGCTGAGTGCTACTGGTGGTGGTGCTGAGTGCTGCTGGTGGTGGTGCTGAGTGCTGCTGGTGGTGGTGCTGAGTGCTGCTGGTGGTGGTGGTTGGTGCCACTGGTGGTGCTCTGTGCTAGTGGTGGTACTTGGTGCTGCTGCTGGTGGTGGTGCTGAGTGCTACTGGTGGTGGTGCTTGGAGCTGCTGCTGGTGGTGGTGCTGAGTGCTGCTAGTGGTGGTGCTTAGTGCCACTGGTGGTGGTGCTGAGTGCCACTGGTGGTGGTGCTTGGTGCTGGAGGTCTATGCTCCTGCTAGAGTGTTGTCCCGCTCTGTTTTGTCAGCATTGATTTACACTGCTTTATTTTTATTTGTAAGAGTTTTCAACATTCACCGCGAGGTTCCGCCTGTGTTTCCAGGTACAGAAGTATACAGTTACAAGTGTACATGTATATATATGCCATATATTGATCAATATTGACACTTGCTCTGGTGTTGCAGGCGTTGGACCGTGACCCTCCTGACGGCAAAGGGGTATGGAAAGTGACAGTTCAGGTCCGGGATAGTCAGGAGACCGCCGGCCACAGCGGGAGCCAAAAGATCGCGGTCCGCAGCCAACGTCAGGAGACCACGGTCAGGAGTAAACGTCAGGAGACCACGGTCAGGAGTAAACGTCAGGAGACCACGGTCAGGAGTGGACGTCAGGAGACCACGGTCAGGAGTGGACGTCAGGAGGCCACGGTCAGGAGTGGACGTCAGGAGACCACGGTCAGGAGTGGACATCAAGAGACCACGGTCTCCCGGGGGACGCAAAAAGTAAGGAGACAGAACAAGTTCGACAGACTAACTCAGACACCGTACGCTGCCACCTCCCGCTCTCAGGATCATCTGGAGACGAGGAGAGAGCGCGAGACTGAGACACCGGCTCGCTTTCCAATCTCTCAAGTATCTCAAGAAACATGGAGAGACAGCAAGGGTGAGGAAGTTCGTCCATCGCACCCTACTCCCTCCTTCAGTCCGCAGCTCGAGAAGAAGAGAAAATACAAGGAAAGTGACGAAAGGCACCAGCCAATAATTCCTCTTTCAAGTCTCTCTCACACCTCACAACAGGGAAGGAAAAGGAGGAAGAGAGAAAATGGGAACGAGAGAGGGTACACTTTCCCCGCCACTCCTGCTACTGTTCCCAGGTCATCCAGGATAATATTGGAAGACCAGAGCGAGGCTCGCGCTGGTCCTGACCCTCAGCCTCCCAAGGGTTCCATTCCATCACCATTTTACTTAAATAAAATGGAAAAAACTAAACTTTATTCTGACTATTCCCCAAGTTTCCCTGGAAGATTTAAATATATTTATAAGCACGCAAACAGCGCTTCGGCCAGAGCAGCATCTTTGGTCATAAACGATACGGATGTTAAAAATATAGAAGCATTAATACAGCCTTCATTTTCTCCAGCAATATCAACCTCTGCGGCTCAGTTACACAGAAAGGTTACAACACTTCAACAATCAATACCTTCGAAAACGTTCTCTGAAAAAAACAGTTTAGTACAAACTAAGAATAAAAAATCGTCTGTACTTTTTTCTACAATATTAAATTCTGGAAAAGTAAAGAAGACCAGCATAGACTACAATCACAACTGCAACAGTAAGACAACACAGAAGACTATAACATCCAGAACCACAGTCGCCCTCAACGCTAGAGTTCCAAGCACAGCTTCAAACATTACCAAGAGAAGGCGCTACTTCGCTTACGCTACACACAACACCGACAGTCTCATCAACGTTCACAATATCACCAGCAATAACACACACGCTAATAAAACATTCAACCCCCGCGGTAATAACATGGTTTCGAACCGTGTCACCGAACCTGCAACTACCTATACGTCGCTCGGCGCCTTCGTCAACACCGACACTACAAACCTTTCTCGGAGTGTTCCTCGGGACACAAGATCCGCTAATTATTCCCTGGATGATCAAAGTGACAACGGAGCGCCGAGCCCTCAAGGTGGAGGGTGTGAAGAGACGGGTGTGTTCGTTTGGGGATTTGAAGATGGAGACCGGGTCGAAGCTATGAATCCCGCGGGCGCTGGTCGTGGGCGTGGTCGTGGGCGTGGTGGTGGGCGTGTGCATCTGGTAGAGACAGTGGTGACGATTATGGTGAAGGATATCAATGACAACCCTCCAGTCTTCTCGAACACCACCATGTTCGGAGAGGTGCAGGAGAACGGACCCATCGGTAAGCTCCCCAATGAATGCCTATATATTATATATATACTTGCACCCTCACAATTTATATATATATATATATATATATATATATATATATATAATGTGCAGAATAACCACATGTGAAAAATAGAAAATGCTTAACGCGTTTTCGGCTAATTCGCCCTCATCAGAGCAAAGTAGAATGAAGATCTATTTTCTATTTTTCACATGTGGTTATTCTGCATACTTGGATCAGTGTTTTTGTGATCATTATTGCATATATATATATATATATATATATATATATATATATATATATATATATATATATATATATATATATATATATATATATTATTTATTGATGTATATTTAGGTGGCCTATATAATGTATATTTATGTAAATTAAAGAAGCGTTTTGGTGCCCGAGTCGACCCCGGCTCCCAATACGGATATGGCTCGACTTTTTGAGGTCGTCTCGGGCACCACTGGTAACTTCATCTAGTAGGTTCATGAGGGTTCACTTTAGTCGTAAACAATGACCTGGTCTAAAATATACTTGCAGGTGGGTAAGCAAGCTTGGGTCACGACCTAACCTAACCCTCCAAAGGTAGATATGCCTTGTGCTCAACACCAAACGAGTTCTGGTGACGAGTTCACATTATTATTAACATAGAACTGTGACTGCTGAGGAGATGCTAAGGAAGGTGGAGAACGCGCAAGAGAAAGAGGGAATATGAGAGAATGAGAGAATAGGAATGCTAGAAAAAGGGGGAGGGAGCGGAATTACCAGGTAGAAGTGCCAAGCCATTACGACTATATAGCACGTGGAAGGGATCAGGATAAGGATTTGGGATGGGACGGGGGGAAAAGAATGGTACCCAACCACTTGGACGGTCAGGGATTGAACACCGACCTGCATGAAGCGAGACCGTTGCTCTACCGTCCACTTCAAGTGGTTGGGTAGAAAAAGGAGGAGAATATAAAAGAAAGCAAAAGAATGATAGAGCGCATGAACTGCCAGCATCAGCAAAACTTACGCTCATTCCCTTCCCATCATCCTCTACAGATCTGTCGGTGGCGGTAATCTCCGCCTGGGACGCCGACGACGCCACTGAGGGCACCAACGCCAGGCTCACCTACGCCATCGAGAAGAACGTCATCGACGAACGTTCCGGTGAGGCGATATTCGCCGTCCACCCAGAGACCGGCCTGGTGCGCACGGCACTCTGCTGCCTCGACCGGGAGACGACCCCTGAGTACCATATTCAGGTGGTGGCTGCCGACGGCGGAGGTCTCAAAGGTGCGTCACCTCGCCGCCGGTCTTGTTTCTGATGCTGGGGGCCAGGGGCCAGATTCACGAAGCAGTTACGCAAGTACTTACGAACGTGTACATCTTTGACGGCTTTGATTACATTTATTAAACAGCTTACAAGCATGAAAGCTTCCCAATCAACTGTTGTTATTGTTATAAACAGCCTCCCGGTGCTTCGAGCTCATTAACTGTTTAATAATTGTAAACAAAGTCGCCAAAGATTGAAAAAAGATATACAGGTTCGTAAGTGCTTGCGTAACTGCTTCGTGAATCTGGCCCACGAGAAATGGTGATCGAGGCTTTTTGAGATGCTAATGAACAAGGCTTCGCTGGCAATTGTTTCTGAATAAGTTGGTCTGAAACGTCTGTGGGTGACTTTGATAAGGATTTATTCAATTGGTTGTCATATATTTGTTCTATTGTGTATTTTGCTTTACGTTTTTCTTAAATAAACAGGTGGTTTGCATTTTAAAATTAATTTCATAAATATTGCTAACTCATTTAGCAAAAGAAGCTGCCTGTGAGCAACAAGCTGAGAGTTGACTCTCTGTATAAGACCCCCGTTACCAGGTCAAACAGCATAGTTAGTGTTATAGCGGGGGTCTCACCTGTTTCTCGAGTTCACCCTTTATAAACACTAGCTCCGTGCGTCTCTGTGAGAGTCAAGTGTTCTTATACACCATCTCCATTGGTGTTGTCCATCACCTGTTCTTGTTTTACTAAAAAAATGTATTTAAGAAAAAAGTAGAGAACTTACATTTTATCTGTGGTAAATAATTTTCCTTTAGAAGCTGTCTGTAAAATATGTTGAATATTACTGTAAAATAATTTATCAATTTAAGTAAATAAACTGTTTATTGCCCACCGGACGTTGGTGGGGCAGGCACTGGCACTGTGGTGGTGCGACTAGCCGACGTCAACGACAACTCGCCGAGGCTGGCACGACGAGAGTGGCAGCTGGAGGTGGAGGAGACATGGGGCGACGGACCCCCAGGCAACGACACCATCCTTGAGATCGCCTCCTTCGATCCCGACACAACCAACTACTTCTCCTACAGGGTGAGTCGCCCGTCCTGTATTAACAGCGAGATGGTGATGAACCTCATAAGTCTCCTCTCACAGGATCATCCACTGGTCGGAGGAGCGGCGACCTTGCTTCTTGCAGGGTCGGCGTTCGCTTCCAGATAGTCCAAGTGGTTATAACTAGTCCGTTCTTTTACTCGATTTATGTATCCTATTCCAATAATGTATTGTAATTATCAAAAGAAGGCACCAAACCGGGAAGGCTACGTAGCATCGTATTCCAATAACGTTACCTCCCTTCTTCGCCATCTCCTCCGTCAGGTAGTGGAAGCGAGCGGGTGGGGTTGGGAGCACTTCGAGGTGCGGGCCGTCGAGGGCGGCGCGGGGCAGCTGTACGCCACCAGGACGCTCGACTACGAGGATGAAACTCACCGCCGGGGTTTCCGGTTCCTCGTGCAGGTCACCGACATGGTACGCATCTACGTGTAGGTTTTCATCGTGCACGAGCATGAATATGTCATCATACACACACACACACCCAAGCTTTCAGAACCTTATAAAATAAACTACGTGAGACAAGTTTTGTGACATGCAGCCAATGTGTAGTCAGCCTATCTCAATAAACACACTAGAAAGATAGGAAGAGTTCATACGTTTGCCAAAGGGCTGGTCACAGTACCAGGAGGATGAAGTAAAAGGAAAAACTTATGGAACTTGACCTCATAACAATGTAGAAAAGCAGTGATGCAGAGGATATATAAGGATATATACATTCTTAGAGGAATTAGCAGGATAGAGAACAATAAAATATTCAGGAAGATGACTTGAGGAGTCAGAAGACGCGCGAGGAAGCTGAAGGTGTTAGTGCGGCCATGAAGAATGAAAACACACACACACACACACACACCAAGAAGCAGCCCGTGACAGCTGACTAACTCCCAGGTACCTATTTACTGCTAGGTAACAGGGGCATAGGGTGAAAGAAACTCTGCCCATCGTTTCTCGCCGGCGCCCGGGATCGAACCCGGGACCACAGGATCACGTATCCAGCGTGCTGTTCGCTTGGCCACCGGCTCCCCTAACACACATATATGTGTGTGTGTGTGTGTGTGTTAGAAATATATGTGGTTGACATATAGAGGAAAAATAGACTGGATAGAAAGGTGTAGTCCAAGAGCTAATGGCTCAATTCTGTAGGCTCAACAAAGTAAATAAACACACACGCATTTGTCAATATTTTAGGCCACAAACACCAAAACAAATTACCAACAAGTATCCAGGTGGCGCTATCAGTCTCCTCACCACACTTGCTCCCTGTCGTGCCCTTAGGGACGCGGGGGCTGGCACGACCCACGCCACCTGGACGCCGCCTGGGTGTCCGTTCGCCTGAAGGACGTCAACGACAACCCGCCAGCGTTTCACCGGCCGCTGGCCCACGTCACCATCAGGGAGGACACGGCCCCTGGGACCCTCCTGGCCACCCTCCCCGCACGCGACCCAGATATGGTGAGCACCTTTCCTGCCCATCACATTGTTGTGTATATGCACTGTACTTTACATAATTGCCTGGGCGAATCGAACTTCAGCTCCTGGGCCCCCCACCACTTGGGCTGGACGGTAGAACGACGGTCTCGCTTCATGCAGGTCGGTGTTCAATCCCCGACCGTTAAGTGGTTGGGCACCATTCCTTCCTCCCGTCCCATCCCAAATCCTTATCCTGATCCCTTCCAAATGCTATATAGTTGCAGGAAAATGCGCAAAGTAGTAGTAGTAGGCATCCATCAGTCTCAGGAGACTATGGAGTTGCGCTCTGGTGTCGGCCTGGTCTGGAGTGGCCTCACCAGGGCGCAAAGCCAGGGTGGGTTGATTCGGGGGAGAAGCTGTTACCTAGGCAGCAGGTCCCCCCCTCTCCACGGCGCTGAAAAAAATGCGCTAAGTACAACAGCACATATCCACTGCCAGGTGAGTACGACGGGCTCACCATATCCCGTGCTGCTTGGAACTTTTTGTTCCAAGCTTTTTTTGTTTGTAGCTGAATCTAACACAACAACAACGCTAAGTAGTGACTCAGCGCATTCTCCCGATAATTACCTTGCTTAGACCATTTGGATAGTGATGATTCGTTTCTCTTTGTGGATGGTGTTTCACCCGGTCTTTTCACCCCGCTCCCCACACACATACACTCACCTACTCACACTCATTCTCTCCCTCATCGAATGCTTCAAGTGACCAAATCTTCTGATAAGAACGTTGACACTAGCCGCTTACTCTTCTCCACCAGGAGGGACGGCAGGAGGTAGAGTACCGTCTGCAAGGAGGTTGGGACGCCGTGACGGTGGACGGCGGCGGGGACATCACCCTAGCGAGGGCGCTGGACCGTGAATCCCCAGGTGGGACGGTGGGCGAGGTAAAGCTTATCGCTGTGGACGGTGGCATCCCGCCCCTCTCATCCACCGCAACACTTATCATCACCGTCAACGACGTCAACGACTGTCCACCTCGCCTCCTGTCTCCTACCGTTTTCCACGTACCTGAAGGTGCCACCGCAACGCTTCTGGGCGTCCTGAAGGCGACGGACGACGACGTGTGGGCGCTCGGTCACGGCCCGCCCTTCAACCTCTCCCTGGCGCCCACCAATCAACCTCACGTTCTCACTTACATCAAACTCAAGTTTAACCGACGTGCGTATTTTGTGTGTATGTGTGTGTCATTACCTAAGTATAGTTTCAGGATGAAAGCTACCGCATACACACGTACTTTCTGTGTGTGTGTGTGTGTGTGTGTGTGTGTGTGTGTGTGTGTGTGTGTGTGTGTGTGTGTGTGTGTGTGTGTGTGTGTGTGTGTGTAATTACCTAAGTGTAATTACCTAAGTGTAGTTACAGGATGAGAGCTACGCTCGTGGTGTCCCGTCTTCCCAGCACTCTTTGTCATATAACGCTTTGAAAAAAGCATGAGGTGAATGGAAATGCTACTTAATTGCTTCTGTCCCGGCCAGGATTCGAACCCGTGACTTACAGGTGTGAATGGAAATCGTTTATCGCTAGACCACGGCCCACGGTGTGTGTGTGTGTGTGTGTGTGTGTGTGTGTGTGTGTGTGTGTGTGTGTGTACTCACCTAGTTGTACTCACCTAGTTGTGTTTGCCTTCCCTTCAGAATCTTGAATGTGGTGATCATGTCCCCCATAACTCTTCTGTCTTCCAGCGAAGTGAGGTTTAATTCCCGTAGTCTCTCCTCGTAGCTCATACCTCTCAGCCCGGGTACTAGTCTGGTGGCAAACCTTTGAACTTTTTCCAGTTTGGTCTTATGCTTGACTAGATATGGACTCCATGCTGGGGCTGCATACTCCAGGATTGGTCTGACATAGGTGGTATACAAAGTTCTGAATGATTCCTTGCACACGTGTCTAAATGCCGTTCTTATGTTAGCCAACCTGGCATATGCTGCTGATGTTATCCTCTTGATATGGGCTTCAGGGGACAGGTCTGGCGTGATATCAACCCCCAGGTCTTTCTCTCTCTGTGACTCGTGTAGAATTTCATCTCCCAAATGATACCTTGTAACTGGCCTCCTGCTCCCTACACCTATCTTCATTACATTACATTTGCTTAGGTTAAACTCTAACAACCATTTGTTCGACCATTCCTTTAGTTTGTCTAGGCCTTCTTGAAGCCTCAAGCACTCCTCCTCTGTCTTCATCCTTCTCATATTTTTTGGCATCGTGTGTGTGTGTGTGTGTGCACTCACCTAGTTGTGTTTGCGGGGGTTGAGTTCTGGCTCTTTGGTCCCGCCTCTCAACCGTCAATCAACAGGTGTACAGGTTCCTCGATGTGTGTGTGTACTCACCTAGTTGTACTCACCTAGTTGTGCTTGCAAGGGTTGAGCTCTGGCTCTTTGGTCCCGCCTCTCAACTGTCAATCAACAGGTGTACAGGTTCCTGAGCCTATTGGGCTCTATCATATCTACACTTGAAACTGTGTATGGAGTCAGCCTCCACCACATCACTTCCTAATGCATTCCATTTGTCAACCACTCTGACACTAAAAAAGTTCTTTCTAATATCTCTGTGGCTCATTTGGGCACTCAGTTTCCACCTGTGTCCCCTAGTGCGTGTGCCCCTTGTGTTTATGCCTAACAGCCTGTCTTTATCAACCCTGTCAATTCCCTTGAGGATCTTGAATGTGGTGATCATGTCCTCCCTAACTCTTCTGTCTTCCAACGAAGTGAGGTTTAATTCCCGTAGTCTCTCCTCGTAGCTCATACCTCTCAGCTCGGGTACTAGTCTGGTGGCAAACCTTTGAACCTTTTCCAGTTTAGTCTTATCCTTGACTAGATATGGACTCCATGCTGGTGCCGCATACTCCAGGATTGGTCTGACATATGTGGTATATAATGTTCTGAAAGAAAGGTTTCTAAAGGCCGTTCTTATGTTAGCCAACCTGGCATATGCTGCTGCTGTTATCCTCTTGATATGAGCATCAGGGGACAGGTCTGGCGTGATATCAACCCCCAGGTCTTTCTCTCTCTCGGACTCTTGAAGTATTTCATCTCCCAAGTGATACCTTGTATCTGGTCTCCTGCTTCCTACCCCTATCTTCATTACATTACATTTGCTTGAATTAAACTCTAACAGCCATTTGTTCGACCATTCCTGCAGCTTGTCCAGGTCTTCTTGAAGCCTCAAGCTGTCCTTCTCTGTCTTAATCCTTCTCATAATTTTGGCGTCGTCAGCAAACATTGAGAGGAATGAGTCTATACCCTCTGGGAGATCATTTACGTATATCAGAAACAGGATAGGTCCAAGTACAGAGCCCTGTGGGACTCCACTGGTGACTTCACGCCAGTCTGAGGTCTCACCCCTCACTGTAACTCTCTGCTTCCTATTGTTTAGGTACTCCCTTATCCACTGGAGCGCCCTACCAGTTACTCCTGCCTGTTTCTCTAGCTTATGCATCAACCTTTTATGGGGTACTGTGTCAAAGGCTTTCCGACAGTCCAAAAAAATGCAGTCCGCCCACCCTGCTCTTTCCTGTTTAATCTTTGTCACCTGATCGTAGAATTCTATCAATCCTGTAAGGCAAGATTTACCTTCCCTGAACCCATGTTGATGGGTTGTCACGAAGTCTCTTCTCTCCAGATGTGTTACTAGGTTTTTTCTCACAATCTTCTCCATCACCTTGCATGGTATACAAGTTAAGGACACTGGCCTGTAGTTCAGTGCCTCTTGTCTGTCACCCTTTTTGTATATTGGTACTACATTAGCAGTCTTCCATATTTCTGGTAGGTCCCCCATTTCCAGTGACCTACTATACACTATGGAGAGTGGTAGGCAAAGTGCTCCTGCACACTCTTTCAATACCCATGGCGAGATTCCATCCGGCCCAACAGCTTTTCTCACATTCAGCTCCAATAGGTGCTTCTTGACCTCATCTCTTGTAATTTCGAACCTATCCAAGGTCACCTGGTTTGCTGCCACCTCTTCTAGCGCCGCGACATCTCCCTGTTCTATTGTAAAGACCTCCTGGAACCTTTTGTTGAGTTATTCACACACCTCTTTGTCATTCTCTGTGTACCTGTCCTCGCCCACCCTAAGTTTCATCACCTGTTCCATCACTGTTGTCTTCCTCCTGATGTGACTGTGTAGTAGCTTGGGTTCGGTCTTGGCTTTATTAGCTATATCATTTTCATACCTTTTCTCAGCTGCTCTTCTCACACTGACATACTCGTTCCTGGTTCTCTGGTATCTCTCTCTACTTTCTGGTGTTCTGTAGTGTGTGTGTGTGTGTGTGTGTGTGTGTGTGTGTGTGTGTGTGTGTGTGTGTGTGTGTGTGTGTGTGTGTGTGTGTGTGTGTGTGTGTGTGTGTGTGTGTGTGTGTGTGTGTGTGTGAGTACTCACCTAATTGTGCTTGCGGGGGTTGAGCTCTGGCTCTTTGGTCCCGCCTCTCAACCGTCAATCAACAGATGTACATGTTCTTGAGTCTATTAGGCTCTATCATATCTACACTTGAAACTGTGTATGGAGTCTGCCTCCACCACATGTGGAGAGTGTGCGTGCGTGCGTGTGTGTGTAATTACCTAAGTGTAGTTACAGGATGAGAGCTACGCTCGTTGTGTCCCGTCTTCCCAGCACTCTTTGTCATATAACGCTTTGAAACTCTGACGGTCTTGGACTCCACCACCTTCTCATTTAACTTGTTCCAACCGTCTACCACTCAATTTGCGAAGGTGAATTTTCTTATATTTCTTCGGCATCTGTGTTTAGCTAGTTTAAATTTATGACCTCTTGTTCTTGAAGTTCCAGGTCTCAGGAAATCTTCCCTGTCGATTTTATCAATTCCTGTTACTATTTTGTACGTAGTGATCATATCACCTCTTTTTCTTCCGTCTTCTAGTTTTGGCATATTTAATGCTTCTAACCTCTCCTCGTAGCTCTTGCCCTTCAGTTCTGGGAGCCACTTAGTAGCATGTCTTTGCACCTTTTCCAGTTTGTTGATGTGCTTCTTAAGATATGGGCACCACACATCAGCTGCATATTCTAACTTTGGCCTAACAAAAGTCATGAACAATTTCTTTAGTATATCGCCATCCATGTATGTGTGTGTGTGTGTGTGTGTATCCCACACAATTTGTGTACAGAATATTGCAAACCATGTTATCAAAATCTTATATTTGGATTCACGCCTAGGTCTCGAATCTCAAAATGCTCCTATATAATTATAAGCAGTCAAAATATTGTTCATATAACAATAATGACTCCATATACATGTGTGTGAAATCTTTTTGCGTTGAAACGTATATCATTATATTTCCATACTTGAATCATATACCTGTCTCTTACAGCCAGCCTACCCATTGAATGAACTCATCATTACCCCATCACCCTCACGTCACAAATACTCATGTTCCCCTCATGTCTGCCCTTGCCACCCCCACCAGACCTTGACAGTGGGCGTGGCGGGGCGGAGGTGTGGGCAGAGGGAGGCGTGGACCGGGAGGAGCACAGGGAGCTGCGGGTGGAGGTGCTGGTGGTGGACGCTGGCGGGTTGGCCGCTCTGCAGACCGTCACTGTCATTGTCGATGATATCAATGACAACCCCATGAAACCCGCAGCCAAGACCGTCTACCTCTGGAAGCCTCAGGTGGGTAAGCTGAAGGCTGCTTGGGGTCACAAGTACACCTTCAAGCTAGTTTACCGAGACATTAAAGTACATCTCAAAAGGAATAGAGCAGCTTAGGCTATTACTGTCCCCCTCTCCCCCCTCCCCTCCACCATTCCCCTGTTAAAAATAGAAGGGAACAGATTACTACGAAGAGTGTGTTTGTTTGTCGAAAGGCGAGTTTTACTATCAAGAAGACGCAGGATATTAGTGACATTTTTAGTTCAGATCTTTGGGATTCCAGGTAAAAAGTGCCCACTTTGGGTCACTTTGTCATCTGGAACCACTTAATTAAGATCACATGCTACCAAGAGCCACTTGAGAGATTTCATGTTTGACGTAAACTTGTTGATAACAAGCAGTCAACTTATCAACAATGACTATGATTCAGAGGATGCCACACACCAACAAATGTCAGAAGACATTATGGACAGGAAGTTCTGAAAGGGTCAGGGGTTACAAGGAGCCAAGGGTCATGAAAGGTTAGAGGTTACAGTGATTAATGTGTTTTTAAGTTCATTACCACACAAGTTTTATTTTTACAAAAAAAATAATTTTCTTATTATTTTAAACGTAAAGTATAACATGCACACACATGTTCCTAAGTTGCTACTGCCACTGAGTGTTAAATGGGTACCTAGGTGCTAAGTAGGCCACTAGAGGTTAGATTGGTCACTAGGTCCAAGATAGATCAATATATTAGACCACTAGGTGCGATCTATAGCCCGTGCTACATGGACATTTCGTTTTGAGTAGTTAAATCTAAAACAACAACAATTGCTAGTTAGGTCACTAAGCACAAGTGACTAAATGACTAGAGGCTAGACAGGTCACATGGTGTTAGTATAATTGGCATTTTAATGCATAAATGTTATTTTTATTTTATTAATCGTCATTATGTTCGTAACTGAATGCAATCTTCTCTAGAGTTTTTATATGTATGGGAGATGTTAGATTGTGTGAGTGTTTACATGAGAATGTAGCCTGCTGCTGTTAGTGCCTGCGCTCGGATGTAGCTTCACCGCCTACATTTGAGAAGGGTCGAAGACACCAGAGAGTGTTTTCCTTCCGGTACCCAACCACTTGGCCTGATCCATACAGCAACAGCCTCGCCTCTTGTAGCCTAGCTTTCGATTCTCGACGGTTCAAGGCACCATTTCCTTCCCTCCGTCCTAGATCATTGTTTTCATATCGCAGCGCCTTGTCCTCATAACCGTGAAATGTGTCCTCAAACCCCTTCCAAGTGTTATATTGTCGTACTAGTATAGCATTTCCCCTCGTATTTACATTACATTCCAAATATATATGTAAATGCTTTCATATAAGTTAGTTTGCTGCAAACCTTCAAATCAAAACAGTTATGTGGCGCCTGTTTAGTGATCCTGCATTTGAATATTTTAATTTTAATTGGGTGGATCCCAAATAAAATGAAGTAAATTAGGAGAAAGTAAATCCCCTACTTTATGAAAATTACCTCTTAGATTACATTCCCATTTCACTTATTCTTACTTGCCCCATTACATGACATTCATTAGTCGTGCCCCAGATCGCTAGGGGTTAGATTGCTCACTTGGGACTAAGTAGGTCACTAGGAGTTACAAAAGTAACTAGGTGCTAGATAGATCAATAGTTGCTATATTTTTTTTATCTTTATTTAAGAAAATACACAAACAATGTGACAAATTTTACTGCCAAATGCACAGTTAAGATAGCGTGCCTGCAGAGGGTAGCGCGCCACCTAGCTGCGATATATAAGAGATGCCTAACACCACAACTCGCGAATTACATATATAAATCAGGACTCCTGTTCCGAGTCTTGCATAAAGTTGTTTCATCAAATTCAAGACCTGATCGTTCATCTAGTCTCAGAAGCAAACTTAATGCATTTGACACAGTACTGTGCGTGCAGAGTCCTCAGCACACACGAGATGAGTGTATTTGTAAAGTACACAAAAACCATACACAATTTTAGCTTCTCTATAACTCCCTCGCGCAAGAATAAACTACCAAACAAGAGGTGCCATGTGCCGCACAGATTGATGTTACCTTCGCACTAAGCTTCGATGTTCTTATCACTCGAAAAATGCAAAATTATAGAACGCATTTTGGAAAAAGGCTTCCGACCAAAACAACCTCTCTTCAACATTTCAAAAATCTCGCAATGGAATAACTAATAACACACCGTAGTATTCAATAACAAGATAATTTCTACATTGCTACAGATAACTGTACGCAAAAATGTACAGTTTTAACTTGCAAACTACTAAGTATATTTTCGCAGCTGACGTGAAAAATAATTAATTAGGGTGACTAAGAGTCAGCATTATTAAGAATCGAAGATTAATTAGAATCAGTAAGCTAAGGTAATTATCAGGAGAGAACGCAGAGAAAGGATGACGACATAGCAACTGTAAAGAATATTGTAAGAAGCTAGGAAATGAGAAAGGAATAAATGATCGTGCCCAACCACTTGTACAATCGGAAATCGAACGTCGAAGTGAAGGGGTCGCTGTACGAACCACTCCAAGTAGCTGGGTGTATCAGTATTATTCCGAGACAAGGCTCACAAAAAAATATTTTTAAAAGTTAGGAGTCACTAGGAGTTAATATTATTAGGAGGGAGGTAATTATCAGGGGAAATTTCCTGATTTTCCCTGATAATTCTTGCTATCTGTTTATCAGTTAGCAAAGTCTGACACCTTCAGCAGGTCTCCATCGCTTGTCTCTCCTTCAGGGAGGTGGGTCGGACGCGCCCCTGGGTCGGGTGTACGTGGAGGACCCCGACGACTGGGACCTTGGGGACAAGAGCTTCAAGTGGGCTGGGACCCCACACCCACTCTTCACCCTGAGCGCCTCCGACGGCGCCGTCTTCGCATCCAGCCTTGTGACGGAGGGCAGGTAGGCATGCGCCTGCGCGCATCCACTTGTTCAGTCATTTTTCCATGGTTTCTAAATGTTGAAGAGGCAGTTTTGTGTACTGGTACTTAGCAGCTGACGCGGTAAATGACACAGGCGTCAACATACAAATAGAGCTTCCTGATGATGGAAGCTGAAGCAGATGCTGAACATCTAAGTGAGGATACTGTTTGAGTTGACGAGGAGAATGTTTATCTAGTTTCCCGCAAAAAAATGTAACCCCGCCTTCACATATTAAATTTATATATAGAAACTCTTATGTCGAACCTTCCTCATCTCAGGCCCCATCCGCTTGGACTGGTCGATACAACGACAGCCACACTTCTATTGCAGGTCGGTGTTTGAGCCCCAATGAATCAAGGGGCTGGGCACCATTCCTTCCCTACGTCCTTATCCTTTTTATAGGAGCTTATCCCAGCTCCTTTTCTATATATCCCTTTCTTGTGCTATAGTCATACTGGCTTAATACTTTCTCCACATAATTACCTTACTTCACCTTGCTCATCTCAGACCTAAACAATATTCATTCAAGAGGATGGACCACAGTGTAAGGAAAATATATACACTCATTCTGGAAAAGATTGAGAGTATATTTGTTAAGCACAAGCGGCCCATATCACAACTGTTACTGGTGCTAGTGGGGGAATTATAATGCGTAATATTATTAAATGAGCACCAATCAACAATACATCAGTGTACACAAGAAATGGTGGAAGCTCCCCAAAGCAACGTGAATTGTAATAATAGCCTAACTTGGCGAGTTGCTCCCCCCCCCCAGGTACACTATTAAATATAAGCCTAGTGGTATGAAGAGACCTCACTAAACCCACGGGAAATGAAGAGTGCTTAGTAACAGTTTATAAACCCCTAGTCCCACACACGCATAGCAAACAATCTCACCTTCTAACATTTACTCTAACTAGGCATGAATTAACACTGGTGATACAGTAAATTTAAAACTGTAAGTTGCATTTATAAACATTTAACAAGTAAATAGAACACGGTGGCATGTACAATACGAACCTGGACTTAACTGAGAAAATTTCATGCAGACCAAACTGGACAAGACCTCCACCAAATTGACCAAGACCAAGGACCATTGACAAGACCAAGACCACCAAATTGACCAAGACCAAGGACCATTGACTGGACCAAGACCACCAAATTGATCTAGACCAAGGACCATTGACTGGACCAAGACCACCAAATTGAATCTCGCTGGCTCGTCCGGCAGCGTACTGTAAAAAAAATCTTCTACCGTAATCGTCCACGTCCTCTAATGTAATCTGCCCAAATAATTAACAATATACCGCATAAACTCACTACCCTACTGGTTGCCCACTACTTAATCAGCCACTAAGATCAAATTCTTAAATGCAGCCTGCAGTTTACATATTTTTACCTGCTCGTACTACCGGCAGCACTGCAAATCGGTAGCAAGCTTAACCGCCGGCCTTTGTGTTTATTTCTATAAACTCCTGTTTCACTTAAATAGACCACCCTGGTCGTAACAGTAACCAAATTGTGAATCTTTTATTATTCTATGTTTTTCAAGATGTAAGCTAATTTACTTATTTGATATACCATTAATTTCTCCGTCATTATCAGTTCCTTAACTTGTCTCAATCTTCAGTGGCCCTGTTTTCCCCATAATCTTTGCTTAATTAATATATCTGAAAAAAAAATAACTTTTAGGATTTGTCTGTGGCATCCTATTCTAAGAGCTGCAGCATGCTAGTACCAGTTCTGTTTGTCTAATTCCGATAGTCTCAGGGCTGTGGGTTATCGAGCCCACCCGATATCCTCACATCCCAACTCCACCCTTGAGAAATATTCATACTATATCCAAGACTAATATCCACAAGACGGCTTCTGTTGTGCCTCCGCTGAATGGAGCCCCGTAGGGAGCCAATCGATTTGGAATTTTGTCGCGTTGAGTGAAATAAGAATTCCCTGGTGGTGCTGCTACTCACAGGATGCTGAGCAATGGCAGTATTTACTTTACTTCGAGACTCCTGCAACTACTGTTTCGTGAAATTATACAACTTTAGTTAAACACAGTTACACGATATTGCGAGTCATTCAGTATGTGAGTCACAGTGTCTATACTATTGTAAATCGTTCAATGCTTTGCTTCACTAGCCTATGTGAATTGCTCAGCGCTGTGAGTTAATGATGTGAGTCGCGTGTCATTCTGAGTCACTCTGCACTGTAAGTCACACGGCACTGTGAGTCACACAACTGCGAGTCATTCACCAATATGAGTCATTTAACATTGTGTGTCACACGGCACTGTGAGTCATTCAATAATGTGAGTAACATGACTGAGTCATTCAAGAATATGAGTCACACGGAACTGTGAGTCACTCAACAATTTCGTCACACGGCACTGTGAGTCATTTAACAATTTCGTCACACGGGGCACTGTGAGTCACTCAACAATTTCGTCACACGGCACTGTGAGTCACTCGCCATCGTAAACTGAGAAATACAATCTAATCAAAAATTGTAAACAAATGCGAATATTTTAGAGAGACAAAACCCTCGCGGGTGGAGAAGGTACCCGTGATGCCAGGTAAATTCCACATACACCATGATTCATTTGGACTATCGCGTCCGCTACACACAACATACAAGTCTGGTTGCTACGAACTACTGGTCTTCTGCGTCTGCTACACACAACACACAAGTCTGGTTGCCACGAACTTCTGGTCTACTGCATCCAACTACTGGTCTACTGCGTCTGCTTCACACAACATACGAGTCTGGCTGCTACGAACTACTGCGTCCGCTACACACAACAGAAGAGTCTGGTTGCTACGAACTACTGCGTTTGCTACACACAACTTACGAGTCTGGTTGCTATGAACTACTGCGTCCGCTTCACTCAACATACGAGTCTGGTTGCTAAAAACTACTGCATCTCCTACACACAACATAGGAGTCTGGTTGCTGCGAACTACTGCGTCCGCTACACACAACATACGAGCCTTCACCTAGTGTGTGGTCTGGTCAACATACTTTAGCCACGTTATTGTGACTCATCGCCTGCATACGAGTCTGGTTGCTACGAACTACCGCGTCCGCTACACACAACATAAGAGTCTTGCTGCTACGAACTACTGCGTCCGCTACACACAACATACGAGTCTGGTTGCTACGAACTATTGGTCTCCCGCATCAGCACCACACCATACAAGTTTGGTTGCTATGAACTTATGATAAGTTAGATAAAAATATTATTTAATAATTATATTGTTTAATCGTGAAGGGATATGCCAACGGCATTGTCTTCATGATTATGTTTTACACTAAAATGCATTTTTTTTAATTAATTAGAATTATAAACATAAGTACCATTTAGGACTGAACATTTTCTCTTTTGTTAATTTATGCGTTGATATGTTTATGCAAGCGAAGCGTTGGCTGCTGTATACAGTCAGGATAAACACATATTATGTATTTCCTTACAGGAGATTCACGAGAATACACATATGTTTATCGCATGCTCTGTATAAGTACTTTCGTACATATTCGTTAAAGTCACTGTTTCACATGTGAAGACAGTAATGGACAGTTCGAGCCTATTTCATAGCTCTTATATAAGCGCTGAGTTGCTACATAGTATTCCCAGATTGCCGCCTTCGTATGATAATTACTTATCTGTGATTTCTCGAGTGACTAGCTCTGAGCCAAAATATGACCATAATTATAATTTAAGATTTTTCTCTCTCGACGGACGTAATGCCTGGGCAGATACGACTTGCAATTCCTGGCGAGCGACCGGGTGTGGGGCCAGCGCGGCGTGGAGGCCAACATGACAGTGTTGGTCCGCCTCCTCGCCCCAGACGCCCTCGCCCATGCTACGCCCCTCACCCTCACACCCACCACCCCCGCCCACCTCACAAGGGGATGGACGCCCACGGTACGTCCTTGCTTGCAACCCGTTCTCGCACTTTCGTATAGTCAATATTGACTTATTAAATACGTGCATATGTGACATACTAAACATACTAGTTTACCTTGAAAAGCTTCATAGAAAACACCGACCTTACCTAACCTTCTTAGTATGTTAAGATAAGCATCTTATTGCTTCGTAACTACAATTATTACTTAACCTATTATAGGTATATAAGCATCTTATTGCTTCGTAATTACAATTATTACTTAACCTATTATAGGTATAGGTTAAGTAATAATTGTAATTACGAAGTAATAAGATGCTTATCTTAACATACTAAGAAGGTTAGGTAAGATCGGTGTTTTCTATGAAGCTTTTCAAGGTAAACTAGTATGTTTAGTATGTCACATATGCACGTATTTAATAAGTCAATATTGACTGTAAGAAAGTGCGAGAACGGGTTGTTGCTTGTTCTTTAATAGAGCAGAAATGGTTCTTTATTGTTTGTTTTATTTTCTTTGCTAGCATTTTCTGCCTAGTTTTCATAGCCTTAATTTTTCCACTTCTTTAATCCTTCCTGTACGTTTTTCTTCGCTTCGTCGTTCGTTTGATATATGCATATGTTATGATTTCTTTTTTATTACTTCTGTCAGTATTTTAATTTTATCAATCTTTTTCTCTTTATGTTATCCTATTACATAAAATTTAGTCATATTTTAAGTTCTCGTGTAAATTTCCAATCCGTTTCTGCTGGTCAATCTTTACTTTTGTCTTTTCTCTCTGCCTAACTGTCTATATGTTTGTCTGTCTAACTAACTGTACGTCAGTGTGACTAACAGAACACAATAATATAAGTTTAGTCTCAAGGGCAAACTGTAGCCTTTAGGAGTAGCAGATAATAGTGTCAAATGTAAGTGTTTGTAGTTGTAGTAAGTGGTTGTTGTTATAGTAAGTGGTTGTTGATATAGTAAGTGGTTGTTGTTATAGTAAGTGGTTGTTGTTATAGTAAGTGGTTGTTGTTATAGTAAGTGGTTGTTGATATAGTAAGTGGTTGTTGTTGTAGTAAGTGGTTGTAGTTATAGTAAGTGGTTGTTGTTATAGTAAGTGGTTGTTGTTGTTGTAGTAAGTGGCTGTAGTTGTATTAAGTGATAGATACAGTAAGAGGTTGAAGTTATAGTAAGCGGTTGTTCTTGCAGTGACTGTATTTGTAGTAAGTGGTTGTAGTTATAATAAGCGCTTGTAATTGTTGTTAGTGGGAAGTAGTAAGTCTTATATGTGTAATCTCTATACGTTTTTCAACACTGCCTGTTGGTGCTTCATCACTACCTCCCCTCCGTCATTTCCCATATCCTTATCCTCTTATCACTTCCAAGTACTATATAGTCGTAATGGCTTTGCGCTTTCTCCTGATGATTACCTTACGTCAACACTGCCTGGGTGTGCCTGTTAGGTGTAGAACTATGGTGCTGAACCAACCGTTCTCCTAATAGAACGTCGCATCTTGACGTATACTCTACTTAAAGCAAACAATTATCGAACTAGAAAATGGGATCGGCTCGCGAAATTGACATTTTGACCGGTTTTGGGTCCTCTGGTAGGTTAGGACAAGGGCACTTTAGTACGACTGTTTTTTGACACGGGAAAACCTTAGGAGGACGGGTTGGTTGAACACAATTCATAAAATCTAAAATGCGTTTTAAAATTTTTGGTTAAAGTCAGACACTATCGATTAATTTTTAATGTCAAAGGAATCTCTTACACAGACAAAAGCTTACTGGAACCACGAATATCTTATTGTTATTTTTAGCAGGAAATTTACACAAGAATAGGATACAAGTCACACCGTCCATATGAAGGCTCGCCAATGGATTGTAAAGTCTACCTAATCTAGCCCAACATAGCCTCCTCTAACCCAAGCACTGTAACCTAACCACAGCCGAACACAACACAGCCTAACCAAAGCTAAATACACCTAACCTAACGATATTTACGGTTTTAACAATCAGAAAACAAGTTTTGTTAAATCGTCTTGTGTACGATGCTGGCAACACTGGTGTTCTTATATTCTTGCAAAGCCACCAACACTCAAAGCGTTACGGGAAGGTTATTTTCGAGATTTTATATATTATTATTATTTAGTTATTATAATGGTATTATTTGGAATTATTTTATATTATTGATATGATAGCTATGTTGACATAACTACATATGGTAGTGAACGTAGCCACACGTCACTGATCACAACGGTCAGTGGCGTCAGCCATGGGTCCCTGTGACAGACACTCTCACCGCCAACAGACTAGCGGAGGAGGCCTAGGCAGACTTGTGGCAGAGCTGTTGAGGCTGGTGGGAGAGCAGGACCACATCGTAGATGTCATCAGCGTCTATGATCTCCAGGACGCCCATCATCATCCTCGCCCCTCTGACACGCCCACGATACCCTCATCCTCCACTGCCTCCTTCAGCTCTGCTCCCACGGCCTCTTCAGCAAGCCAGCAAGCAATCTTTGGAGAGACGCCTTCGGCCTGCGTGTGGCTCACCGTCAGAAGCTTACGAGAGGGCGGACCTGGCGGGAGCTTTATGAATCCTGTCAAACTACAAGGTCTCCTTGGTCTCCACTCTCGCCAGGTAAGCGAGTTATATTATAATTTTTCTTTGAGACACAGATCGTCTTCACCAAGCACAGGTTACTTAGTGTACCAACCAGAGACGAAGTCATACAATAACGTCGCTGACAACATATAACCCAATCCCTCTCAGTATAGGCAAATAAAAAAATATTAAGGTACTGTACAAAAAATTAGGGAGATGAGAGTCCCATATAAAATGCAACAATTACTTAATAATATCAGGTTCCCAGCTAAGGGAATTCAAACTTTATAACCATTCTTTTCCAGCTGAAACTGTAGCATCATATGATATAAACCGTTAAATTAACTTTAAAATAAATTGAATGATTATAAGAGAGTGTTGACCACATTAAAATCTGTACTTAAGTACATAAGTACTAGCATAGGTGATGTTAGGTAAGGATTTATTATCTATTATTATATATTTTCCACATATTATATGAGTAAGCGATTTCAAAGTATAAACAGTATTTGAATGCTGCAAATATTAAAAAAACTTGGGTTAGACTTTCCCTTAATTAATTAGAATTCATTGGCTATTTTTCTATATTTAATTTGCCATCAATAAATAAATGTGTAGGCCTGTAATTGCTAAAATGCCTGACTACTTTAATTATGGGTAAATTTTTTGAATTAATTAATAAAATTTGGTATGGACAAAGCACATCGACTATTGTCCTCTCTTAGATTTAATCAATCGTTCTAAACAGGGGGATATTCCCTCCCTAGGGGGGGGGGGGATATCGACCTCTTGAAATAATCCCAGGTCGTACATCAGATAAACACACAAGGATTTCATTGACAACTGAAAGGACACGATTTCTGTCTTTGCTCTTGATGCTGGTAAATGAGGTAAATTAAACACAAAAATCACTCAACACATACGTTTACTTGTGATTAGAGCTAGCATATTTATCGCTATCTCTCGCGGAACCCCAGGTTACCTTGAGGTTGAGCGCTGCCGAGGTTGAGAAAAGCTGGTTTAAATGAATAGCAATTAATGGTGACTTATTAAGTATTTATAATAACTTGCCATGCTGATTTTTAATTGTCTTTTCATAAAATGCATAATTAATACGAGTTACTGACACACAAGGCACATACTGCTAGCATGACGAGGTCCCCCGGCCAAGGTACTGTATTTTGAGTAACCGGTTATGTAATCGAGAAAAGTTTTACAGTTTATGTAGAGATACAATATAATAATTCTCAATTATTATTCGTTACTGACTCTCCTCTTTCTTATTGCAATCTGGCTGGAATTACCAGCTGGAGGCAGCGACCAACCTGACGGTGCTGGTGGGTGAGCCAGCCTCCTGGAGCAGCGGGCCCAGGGACACTGAACACCAGCAAGGCTCCACACACCTGCTGGAGGATGACAGCCTCGCACTCGATCCCTCCTCGGCCGCCTCCAGAGCATCTACGGCCCTCACCCTCCAGGTAAACGCACACACACATACACGGAGGCGTACTGCCACCAGACACAGTAGTAGTGGTGTTCCAGGGAAGATTTCAAGTCTCATGTTGAGCGCCGTTTAGCTAGTTTCTAGGATCCTTCGTTAGTGTCAGCATCCTGGCCTGGCTGTTAGAGTGACGTTCTCGTATAACATTATATATCATACAAGTACAGCCGCGGGTTTTATGTGGAGTCACCAGGAATGTGCAGTACCAGGAAGATGGCTCCATCCTTAACTCTATTTTAAAGGCTTACCATCCTTAACTCTATTTTATAATAAAATATTATTTAGAGCTATAAACATGCAGTTGAAGCATTAGTTATGCTAATAGTCAGTATTCCTTAGCATGCAGAGAAGCACCAAGATGAAATCAGATAATTTATAGAAAACATTTCGCCTGAAAATGCATTATTAAATGTAGCAAATACACGGAGCTGATGCATATAAATGTACGAGATGGCGAGTTGAAAATTATGTCACTTATACTGAATACTTCAGTTGCCTGGATTAAAACAACGTTCTTTCATTTATGGGTCGGTGCAGGGACGGCGTTTGGTCCCAAGTATCCAAATGATTAGGCAGCGTTCCTCCACGCCGCTCTTGTGTCCCAGCTCCCTGTCCTCATATTCTTTCCACATATTATATAGACATAAAGGTTTAGTACTTTCTCCTGATAATGATTTTGCATTGATTCAAACTGTATCTAACCTGCAGCCATCAGCCATAATTGCCCAACCACTTGGGCTGGACGGTAGAGCAACGGTCTCGTTTCATGCAGGTCGGCGTTTAATCCCCGACCGTCCAAGTGGTTGGGCACCATTCCTCCCCCCCTCCCGTCCCATCCCAAATCCTTATCCTTTCCCCCTTGTCCCCCTGATAATTCACTTCCCTTAAACATAGTTACTGAAGGTTCATGTATGCCACCTCACTAGCTAAACTGCTACTGGTAATGTATATTATTGTATAATTCTTCACCTTCCCCGGTCTCGCTTCACACCCTCGCATCATCTTATTTCCCTTTTAAACTGAGCATCACCCTAGCTAGAGGCTTTCTTCCAACTTGGTGTTCATCTACATTGATTCTCAGGTCAGACGTTAATGTGTTTTCAGATTCGGCAGTACTGACCCTCTCGACCCCCACCAGGTTGTAGATACAAACACGACGGCCCTTGTGACCCCGCATCTGACCCACGCCCACACCTGCTACGCCCATGAGCCAGAGACCTGTACGCCCACCTCCTGCCTCAACGGTGGGCGCTGCGTCGGCTCTCCCACTGGTAAAAGGTAAGGCTGGTGAGCCCCAGGAAGGGCAGGTGAGCCCCAGGGAAGGGCAGGTGAGCCCTAGAGAGAGAGAGCTGGTGACCTGGAGCAGGTTAGCGCTTGTAGAGTCAGGTGAGCCCCTCGGAGAGCAGATGGTCCTGGAGGAGAGATGATCAGAGGCAATTCTCAGTCGTCTTTCACAGTGATTCTTGACTCCCTTTCCTTGTCGTATCTCCTTGTAATGCTAACGATAAACATTGATTAAAATATATTTCCTTACAAATCATTTGAATTCCCGAGTGTCATTCCTGTGTCCCCTGGTTCTCACGTTGCTTAAGCTAAGCGATATGTTCTCGTCACTATCATCAGTATCCCTAATTTTTTTACATAAGGATTATGTCCCCTCGAGCTTTCTTCTTTCTTCAAGTAACTGGAGGTTCAGCTTCCTCTTAAACCGTAGGTTCATCTTTTGCATTTAGTTTTCTTCCTTTTGGATTGGGACAAAATCTGTGATGATGACTGAGGTCCCTTTTGTGGCATGGATGCCAAAGACGGTGGAACGTGTGCCACAGCGTGTGTGTGTGTTTGTGTGTGTTTGTGTGTGTGTGTGTGTGTGTGTGTGTGTGTGTGTGTGTGTGTGTGTGTGTGTGTGTGTGTGTGTGTGTGTGTGTGTGTGTGTGTGTGTGTGTGTGTGTGTGCGCGTGTGCGTGTGCGTGCGTGGATGCGTGCGTGCCTGCGTGCGTGCGTGCGTGTGTGTGTGTGTGTCAGTAAGTGCCTCTGCTACCCCACCCTCCTCAAGTTACAGTACAGGTGTGACCACAGGTGTGTGTGCCCTGGTGGGTCGTGGGGCGCGCGGTGCAAGATGCTATCCAGGACCTTTTCTGGGTCTGGGTGGGCGTGGGTTGACCCCTTCCGGCCCTGCCTTCCCACCACTCTATCCATCCGACTTCTCACACGCCGCCCGCACGCCCTCCTCCTCTACTCTGGACCCATGGCGCCCACTTCGCGGCGTCCACATTCCCCGCCAACGCCCATGATCGCTCTGCAGCTGGTCCACGGGCGTCCTCAGCTGGTGGTGGAGGGCAGGGCGGGCTCCCTCTCCCTGAACGTCAATGCTACTCTACATGATGGCGACTGGCACTCCATCCATCTCTATTTTAGCTCTCAGGTGAGAATCTTCTTTTTTCTTCTGATTTTTTTTTTGAGATTGTGTGTAAAAATTGAACAATTCATTGTGTCGGGGGACAGGAAGCCAGAGTGTATTCATGCACGTTTTGGCTTTTATCGAGTGGTATTTATGTAACACATAATTAAATGTATCTCTATTTTTAATTTAACTTTATCATCTCATTTTTCTGAGTAAATAAGCAACAAACATGAAAGATTCTCTGTGGTGTGTGTGGTACAGGGCGTGGCGTTGATGGCGGATCTGTGTGGGCGTGGCTGGGATGACTCCCACGCCCATGACGACGCCCACTGCGTGGCGCGGGGAGCGTGGCCCAACCGGGAGGGCGCGTGGACATGGGCTGGGCATGGCCCAGTGCAGGTGGGTGGGCTAGCCCATCCGCCCCCACGCCCGCACGCCCATGGGTGGAGGAACGCCCCTGAGGCACGCCCATTGGATGGATGCCTCTCCCATCTCACAGTCAACGGACAGGTGAGTCTCTCACTAAACACCATCACGCACTCAGGGGCATCATACACTTAAGGAACTCACACTCACGCTCGTCACCCACTCAAGGGATTCACACTCACGCTCGTCACTCACTCAAGGAATTCACACTCAGGCTCGGCACACACTCAAGGGACTTGCAATCAGGAACTTCACAAACTTTATAATTTTTCATAATAGCTACTTACTGCATTTCCTTCCTCTCCAGACTATTTCACTTTGTAAATAAGTTATTCTGGCTCTCGCCCACCGCCCCCCTTACTTAACAAGGACCTCCCTACAGCTGGTGGACTTGGGGGAGCCTGCCTACAGCCACGGTAGCGAAGTAGGCTGTGCAGCACAAGACACCGCATGTGCAGGCGGAGGGGGCGGCTGCGGCGTCCACGGGCGGTGTGTGGGCGGGATGAGGCAGCCAGAGTGCGAGTGTGAGGCCGGGTGGGCTGGGCCAGGGTGTGCCTCGCCCACCCAGCCCTCATACCTGGCGCCAGCGTCCTACATGAAGGCGGCGCTGTCGTTCACGCCTCCTCCGCGCCAGGTGACGGCGCAGGTGCGCGTGAGGACACGAGGAGCGACCCACGGCCTCCTGCTGCGCCTCTCTGCGCACCAGGGAACAGCTGCCTTCACCATACACGTGAGAGTACCCATTTGAATGTTACCTTCATGTATAATGTATGGTTCTGAATACACAAACATTATCTTTCAAGCCATCCTCTTGGTAAACGATACGTGTATTATTTTCTTAAAGAATATAATACATTTATGTAGGCATCGTAATAATATATCTTTTTGATGAGAATAAAAACATTTGATGATATTGAATTGTTGAGCCTTTGGGATCTATGAAACTGAAAATGAGTTGCTTTAAATAATACCCAGTAACTTGCATGTTATACACATTGATGTCAAATCTCTACTGTTTGAAGACAGCACCAAATTTGTGTGGTTGTGTGCGGCAGTTGCGTGCGGGTGTTGCATGCGCCTCTGTGACGGGCGTCGGGTGGGCGGAGCAGACGGTGTGTGTGGAGGGCCGGCCTGTGGGCGATGGTCGTTGGCACACCCTCACTGCTCAGCGACTCGGCGACAACCTGCTGGTCGCTGTAGACGACGGCGACAGCTGGTCTCGACGCAACGACTCCCTCCCTCGCCTCTCCTCGACGACGCCTGACGGGGCGTGGCCGCCGCCCCTCGCAGTAGACAAACACGACGCGGCCACGCTGGGAGGGCTGCCGGAGTTTGTGGGCGTCAGGCTCGTCGCCGTCCACCACGACCTCAACGACAGTGAGTGACTCGGCATTTCAAACTCAAAAAAATTATTCGTGAATCGTAGTACATCTCCAGTGTGCGGGACTGAGTTAACATTGTTCTCCACGACGGGAGACTGGACTTACAAGTGTTACTAAATCTTGTATCGACATTTAAGTTATGGATTGGTGAAACTATTAATGTGGAAACTCTCGTATTATTATTAGAGAGAGATTGAAGTAGAGTTGTCAACGCGGTATTTTATCCCAGTAAGTGACGGAGCGGCTGTAGCCTATACTCCAACGTCAGTAAAAACAATAAACTTTTTCTTAGTCTGGATACAAGTCCCAGGCGGGTCTCTCTAGGCTCTAGTGTCTTAATAAGGGATTCTTAACCTTTTCTACGATTACGTACCCCCAATATGTCCTCAGACACCCTTTTCCAGACTGGTGAAATCACCATCACCGGGTCCAGATAGCTCCCAGTATGGCTTCAAGAGGTGTCAATAGCTTACTTACCTTTACTTTACACATGATAGCTACCTTACCTTGATGTGTTTCCGGGGCTTAGCGTCCCCGAGGCCCGGGCGTCGACCAGGCCTAGCGAGGACGAGAACAGCTGAAAGAAAATCACACGGATTTTATCATATAAATTCATATACACACGCTGGTTAAAACATTTGACATTTTGCAGTTTTGTGTCAGCAGAACATGGAGCCGTTTCAGTCCGTATTGATAACGCTGTTTACAAATAACACAACAACTTTTGTTTTTAAATTGTTCTTGGATCGATTCCCATATCCCATTACTTGGTTCCTATATCCCCATTACTTGGTTCCCATACCCCCATTACTTGGTTCCCATACCCCCGAAAAGGTGTGAATACCCCTGAATAAGAACCTTTGCTCTCGGCCAAGATTGCATGCCAACTGTGGCTCTGACGCCTCCCTGCGTGCCAAGCGCTCATATCTCCTCCCACTTCCTCCCAACGCTTATTGTCCCAAGTGTGTGAAAGGTAAGAGGTTTGTGTGTGTGTGAGGGCGGGTGAGATGTTTGTCTGTGTGTGAGGGGTGAGAGGCTGTGCCCTCTGGCCTCATCACATGTCTTCGTTAAACCGTAAACGATTAAAATCCGGCAATGTTTCCTGACGTTATAAACGATTCATTGTTTACTGGTGGTGGATATATATAACTAAGAACTTGTTCAACAATTCAACTGCTAATCATCACCTCCTGACACAGTGCCACCACTATTCATCACCATGTGCCACATATTACCCCTCAAATCATCACCTCCTGACACAGTGTCATCACTAATCATCACGCCACGCATCTAGTAACCAACACTTTGTGTCCATCGTAGCGTGTGTGGATGACGTGCGTGTGTGCGGGCGCGCTCTACCTCTTCCACCAGCTGTCAACGGCACCAGTTGGGGACAGGTGACCACCTTGGAGGGGCTGAAGTCCGGCTGCCCCGCCCCGGACGGCTGCAACAACACCACCTGCCCAGCACCACTCTCCTGCACACCCACCTGGGGACAGTCCACCTGCAGGTGGGTGATAGGTGATAAGGTGCCCCCACCTTAAGTAGGTCATGTTTGTTATGTTTTAAAGCGAATAATTATTATATAAAGAGATTATATAACATATGTAGAATATCTGTACCTATAAGAGGGAGGGGCGGGAATTATCAGGGAGATGGCGCCAAGCCATTACCACTTTATAGCACTTGGAAGAGGTCAGGATAAGGATTTGGGATGGGACGGGGAGAAGGAATGGTGCCCAACCAATTGGACGGTCGGGGATTGAAGGCCGACCTGCAGGAAGCGAGACCGTCGCTCTACCGTCCAGCCCAACCACTTGGGCTACGGCAAGGTACATTGTTGTGGATATTACGGAACGGCAACTCTCATCGTCCCACAATGAGAATAACATGTGAATAACACGTCACATGCACTGTGGAAAAGAACCAGTATCCTCTCAAATATTAGTATGAGCCCTAAAGGGCATGTCTTGCCAGTAAGTTGAGTGACAGATGACTGACGTGTGACTGATGGATGTCCCATTCAGCCACGGCCGTCTGTAAGAGTCGCTGTCTTACTCTCTCTCTCTCTCTCACTCAAGCACACTTGTCTCTTCAACTAGCTGCGGGCCCGGGAGGCAGCAGGCAGGGCGTGGGTGTGAAGACGTGGATGAGTGCCAGTGGGCACCGTGCCTGCATGGAGGCTCGTGCCACAACAGGGTGCCAGGTTTCCTGTGCGTGTGTAGCCCTGATCATGCAGGCCAGTTCTGTCAGTGGAAGAATGTTGGCGGTGTCGCCCACCCACTGACACTGCCAGCCGCTGTAGTGGGCCTCACTCTCTCCTTCCTCATCCTCAGTATGTATATAAAATAGATCCCATTCATTTTGTGTATTACGCTATTTATATGCAGTTTATATAAGAGATGTTGCATAAATCATTTTCGTAAACTGTTTACGTTTATGTTAAACAAAATATTAAAAAGTATTTGGTCGAGTTGGTGTAAATACACCATTAGTAACAGTAAATGTTTAGGCAAAAAGAGGCATTCTTTTCTTTAAGCAAAGAATCCTTTCAGTAATCTTGGGTGTGGTGTGTTCCGTGCGCCTCCGCCGCCGCCGCCGGCAGCAGCAGCAGCGACTCCCAAGAAAGGGCTCTTGCTGCGAGGAAGGAACTTTTCTTGAGGTGAAGTCTAATAACTTTGAGGACGTGGCCTTCCGCGAGCTGCAGCCGGACGAAACTCAAGAAACCCTCGTTGAGTGTCTTAAGCTGAGAGCGTCTTGTGGAAAACTGAACGAAGCAGGTTAAGAGTCCTCCTTTGATCTTTATGAATGTAATTGTTCTCACCATACGTGAAGGGCGGAACACCAAATGTGAAAATAACAGAAGGAACGTTAATAAAATATACATAACTTGGTTCTTCTCAAGCGATAATCAGTTTATATTTCCAGTGAAACATTAACTTCATTCAGTAATGTGTACTTTCAATGATCCTTCAATTCATTCATTAATTTATACATTTAGCAGTTTTTCACCTCATTAAAATTACTCATTAGTTTACTGCTATTTATATTATATATGAAGTGATCATTCACCTCAATCATCAACTCATAACTTCAGCTATCATTCACTCACTTAACAATTTGTACTTATAGCACTCATTCATCAACTTGTTCATTCGATATTCACCTAATTTATCAGCATTACCAATTTACTTAATAAGAGCTTTAAATTTTGAACAGGTGAAAAATCCAGTGAAGATCCAGCCTTCGCAAGCATGTCGAAGGGTTCTCCTGACGGCGGTGGACGACGACTCCAGCCAGAGGTCCTCCTGCCCAACGACGACCTTCGTGCCTACGCCTACGAGGGTGATGGGTCTTCAGCTGGTTCTCTCACCTCCACGATATCAGGTCAGAAGTATATGTCTGTCTCTGAATTACCTTTTTTTATTATCCATTCTAATTCCCCCCCCCCCCCAGGTTAGGGGCCACCTGTATTTTGGTGCCCATATTGATTTACCGCCTGATTTGTTTACAATCCAAGTCTACAAAGTACCCTTATTACCATCTTTTGATCCCCTCATTCACTTGTATGCGAGTCTTATGCATGAGCTCCTCACCTACGTTGCATTTGAGATCCAGTTTCACATAGATAGCAATATCACCTCATTTTCTCTGTGTGTTGCATCAACATGATGAGGGACTTTTAGTCCTTGAGTGGTACTCAACTAGTAGACCCCCCCCCTTGTGTGTGTTGATATTTAGCTATGATTCTGCGAGTGCTTTTACGCCTAACTTTGCAGCACACCATATAGTTATTTTAGTGTACGTATAGCCACTTTTCCTTAGTTATCTTGTTATTAAGAATGATATTTTTGCTATTTTTACCAGCATGAAATATATTTGTTATTCTTTTTATTAGCTGTTTTGCGATTTTAGTCGTCATTCTTTTCCCATTATTTACACCCACTAAGTATTAAAAGTCTCAAACACAATATTTCCTCCAACATGTCAGCCAAAACTGCTGCCTCCTAGGGAGATAGTCCCGTCCCCCACACACATTTTTTAGAAAGAACTTTTTTAGTGTCAGAGTGGTTGACAAATGGAATGCATTAGGAAGTGATGTGGTGGAGGCTGACTCTATACACAGTTTCAAGTTTAGAAATGATAGAGCCCAATAGGCTCAGGAACCTGTACACCTGTTGATTGACGGTTGAGAGGCGGGACCAAAGAGCCAGAGCTCAACCCCCGCAAGCACAATTAGGTGAGTATATGGTGGGTCTTGCTAATGCAAGAGTTCCGGCTATCCATGAATGGTATATTGAGATATTTCATGATGAACCAAATCTCCTTCCCCCACCCCCAGCCCCCACCACCTCCCACTCACTACTAAAAATAATAGTTTCACAGCTCTCTCTAGGACGTCGAGGCAGCTTCTATTTATACCCAACATAATTCACTCCAATACATGTATAACCTACGCTTGAAATAATCCAGCTCTCACCTATTAAGGCACTTAGTAATTTGTACCATAAATCTACATCCCTATTCCTAAACCAGTTCTTTTTCTTTTTCTCAATTACTACTTATTCAGTTTGTGTCCATTGTTTCTTGGTTTTATTTCTTTAAGTTCATTTGTTTCTTTTGCTTTTTATGTGCTTTATTCACATCCTGTCATCTTTGTGACCTTAATTATTTGTTAATGAAAGTTGATATTATCCATGTCAGGGAACTGCTGTTTGAATTATTCCTGGCTGTAACAACCTGAAACTTGTATTTCTTCACATTACTAAGCTAAAACAAAAAATAAAAAAAATTGGCATGGTATTTATGTATATTTTGTAATGAGTTTGCACCGACATATATTCTCAATATAACGCACCTCTTCAGAACACTTAATAATCTTTAAGTTCATGATTCAATATTAAATAAAACAATTTACTACAATTTGCAGGTTTACGAGTGGAGATGAAGGAGGAGTGGGACATCAAGCCTCTGGTGCCGGAATTCCTCCAAGTGATCGATCTCTTGAAGAACCTCCCTGAGAGGTCCAGGCCAGACGTATCATCTGCAGGAGACGAAGAAGGTGGACGGGTCAAAGGCTCCCAGGACACCAGCACTGCTAAGAAGAAAGAAAGCTCTGTGTTGTCAGGCTTTATAAAAAAAATTCTGCCTTCATCGGATGGCAGTGACCATCCCTGCTACTGTGGTCCCACTAGTTGTGGGGAGAACAGCTCCAGGAATTGTGACGATTGCTCCAAATGCAGTGAAGTCAGCACTAGGTGTAACGAGACCAAAAACTCCGTCGGAAGTGATGCCGGCGCCATGTGTGACGAAAACAGTGAAGGGGAAGTGTCGACGATCTGCTGACATCGGCACCATCCAGGGTGAACCCACTTTAGGTGTGGGTGTGCTGATGCAAGCCTGTGTCTGATGACCAGGTCTTGCTGGCTGACGCAAGCCTGTGTCTGACGACCAGGTCTTGCTGGCTGACACAAGCCTGTGTCTGATGACCATGTCTTGCTGGCTGACGCAAGCCTGTGTCTGACGACCAGGTCTTGCTGGCTGACGCAAGCCTGTGTCTGACGACCAGGTCTTGCTGGCTGACACAAGCCTGGACACTTTCATCAGCCTCGTCAGGAAATTGAAGATGACTGATGATCTGGATTGTCTTTTCATTAACACTATGCAGAGTGACAGCTCTATACACGGCAACGTCCCCCCACAGCATGTCTTGCGTGACCTTTCAAGCCCAGACTCTCTGACCTTCCGTCACGCACTCTGTCTACCGTCACGCCCAGACTGTCTACCGTCACGCCCACACACACCTCAGTAACACTCAAGATGAGACACAACATTTTTATTTCGGATATTTAATATAATAAATGCTTAAGGGTCAGTTCAGACAGCCTAACGAACACGTCGTAATAGACATTGTTGTTGTTGATTTAGAGGCCGCTACGACAAAAGCACCGGATGTGCCCCGGCTCTCCCATGTAGGGTAAAACACAAAGCCTTGCGACTATGTAAACGTTGCTAAACTATTGTGCCTTGCAGCAGTTAAACAATCTGTTAGATAGATGTTTCGCGAGCCCCTGGAGTCCCCCGAGGAAAGCGAGAGATGTATCACCACCCCACACGGAAAACCGTCACCCAGTAACCCCAGACGATAAGGCGTCAGGTGTCCTGTGGTCTCTGGTTAGTCGAGCAAAGTCGTAACCGAACGGCAGAATAGCAATTGGCCATCATAAACTCAACTCCAGTCGAACACAAACAAAAATGTGATCCACTGACTTCCGACAGAGTAGTAACCAGCCACTCACTACATTCCGAGGGCACAACAGGAATCCATCAAGACTCGCCAACTCCCGACACCTCTCAGCCAACCCGGCGCCAGAAAATCCAGCCGGGTTGGACGGTTAAAATCGGTTAAAAACGGTTAAAATCAATCATCTTTCATATGATCCCAGACGATACGTGCGCTAGGCGTTGTATCATCTGAGACGTTGAAGAGGACTGTCTGACATTATGGAGACCCAATGGCTAAAATTGCATGTTCCAGGAAGATCAGTGTTCAGATGTCCGCTCGTCGAACCAGGAGTCCAGTAACAGACATTATTCCTTATCATGTGCATACTCAAATATATGGACACATGTCAGGCAACTTATGTCTTAATTGTCCCAGTGGTCTGTAGTAGCCTATTGGACACCATGGAGTGTCAGCATAGTGGACACCAGGAGACAATATCAGAAAAGTGGGCATCGTTGGACATTTTCAGACGAGTGGATTGTGTCAGCTTAGTGGTCAGTGTCATCCTTGGGAACACCATTGTACAGTATCAGCTAAATTAGATTCCAGCGGACAGCGTCAACCTGTTTCACACCAGAGGACAGTGTCGGCTTGATTAAAATCAGTGTACAATGTCAGCCTAGTGAATATCAGCGACTGAGGCAAATGTACCTGAGTGATTGAGGCAGAAACACTTCAAGAACTAACGCAGACACACTTCAAGAACTGAGGCAGATATACAAGAACTGAGACAAATACACAAGAACAAGGGCAGACGCACTTGAAGGACTGAGGCAGATGCACTTCAAGAAATGATACAGACACACTTGAAGGACTAAGGCAGAAGCTTTTTACTGACTAGGCAGATATAGTTGAATTGAAGCAGATACACTTCAAGAATTGGGTCAGATTCACTTCAAGGACTGAGGCAGACACACTGAAGTAGGGGGGGGTCTGGTAGCTGAGCGGACAGCGCGCAGGACTCGTAATTCTGTGGCCCGGGTTCGATTCCCGGACCAGGCAGAAACAAATGGGCAAAGTTTCTTTCACCCCTGATGCCCCTGTTACCTAGCAGTAAATAGGTACCTGGGAGTTAGACAGCTGTTACGGAGCTGCTTCCTGGATGTGTGTGTATGTGTGTGTGTGAAAAAAATAGTTAGTAGTTATCTTGAGATGATTTCGGGGCTTTAGTGTCCCCGCGGCCCGGTCCTCGACCAGGCCTCCAGCTAGTTAGTTACAGTTGATTGACAGTTGAGAGGCGGGCCGAAAGAGCTGAGCTAAACCCCCGCAAGCACAACTAGGTGAATACTTGAAGGACTGAGGCAGACACTTCAAGGACCGAAGCAGACACACTTCAAGAACTGAAGCAGATACACTTAAGGGACTGAAGTAGACACATTTCAAGAACCGAAGCAGACACACTTCAGGGACTGAAGCAGACGCACTTTAGTGGCTGAAGAAAATACACATGAAGGCACACTTCAGGCAGTAATACAGTTGAGTACAGTTCGTGTAGTCTGTAATATTTTGTATCTTCGTTTGATCGTGTCCTCTCCTTATTCTTCGTCGATGTGTCTCCTATTTCTTTCTCTCATTCTTTCGTTTTAAAACTCTCCATTTTACTGTATGATGCAAAACAAGATTATTAATCCATTTTTACTGTCACCTAAAGTTTTGATGTTACCCATAACAGAGAGAAAAATGTCAGCAACCATGTGAAAGCCTTTGAAGAAATACAACTGCAGCAGGAACAACATCAGCAGCAGGGACAACAACATCAGCAGCAACAACAGTAAGAACAACAACATCAGCAGCAGGAACAATAACATCAGCAGCAGGAACAATATCAGCAGCAGTAACAACAATATCAGCAGTAACAGCAGCAGGAACAACATCAACAGCAGGAACAACATCAACAGCAGCAGCAGCAACTGCAGTCTGGTGGTCGAAGAACAATGCATCAGTTCCCTTGCAGGCGGCAACACCCTCACACCAGCTGCCTCATCTATGGAAAACCTAATGTCGATTTTATAGATGATGTCTAAAAAATTGCAACACAACATTGGTCATCTGTGATGTTTTGTTCAACAACAACATATCATCATATTCTAGAGTACGTCAGTGTATAATGCAGTTTTCACAACAAAAATATACCCTGTACTGTATCACTTTAGTAATTGATTAAAGAATTTAACGTCAACCCAAACTAACCAGTAACTTATTGATTATTGTTCCCTGCCGTGTTTCCTAACGAGGGTCAAAAACCTATCTGAGGTTCAATACTCTATTCAGCACTACAAGACGAGTTGGCACTGTATATAGAATGGCTTACCTGAACCTTAGAGAGTCCCAGGCGTCATGCCACCTATAAGGTAGGCATCATTCGTCTTTCTGAAGCCTGATTTCTGACTTCTCTACACTTGCCAGTAGTGACTGATCGTATAGCTTGCATGACGGAATTAAATAGCAGTATTTTGGGGGTATTTTCGTTGTTTTTCCTAATTGAATTTGAGAAAGAGAAAGACAGTTTAGCCCTGTTTGGTTCACGAAGGAGAGTGACGGTTTCCATTGTGCTTCAGTGCTGCACCCCAATTGCTACTCAGATAATTACTTATTACTTATTGTGTAACCTTGTGGGCTTAGGAAAGGACTTAAGTAAATGCCAATTAGACAGTGGACTACTTATCCTAATTTAACAGGAAGGTATCAATCTATTTAGCTGAGAACATTATTTCATTATTATTGAGACAAAAAAAAGTAGCCTAACATCCCCTATTACGTTTTGTAATTTTACAAAAATTTACAATGGTATGACTTATTGAATTTTATTATTAGTCATCCATGACACAATCTATTGCCAGTGATAATGTGTATTACCCCCAATGCAAGGTGTAAGTTACATGACAATGCCTCTGATATTAATTTTAAATAGGTCTGTATTGAAAAATTAAATTGTGTTCATCTTTCACATTCTAGCCTTTTGCTTAGTTACTACTCGTTTGCCTCATTACTCAAATATGTTTAAGCCTAATCCGGAAGTAACGAACATAGTTTACAGTAAATACGTTTATTGTTAATATTTGTTAAATGGAACTGATTTACATCGAGGGAGAGAGAGGTTGCAACTCAAAGAGGCCATAGAACCGGGCAGACAACGGTATCTGCTTAGTCGTGTTCTGCTGTATGTATGTATGAATACATATGGTTCATTTCTAGTAAAACCTAGTTTTAATTTCTCTTTCAGAATGACGTCATTTAACTTCAGCAAAAGCCCAACTGGAATCGCTACTAATAAAGTTATTTTGCAAAATAAATCGTCATTTAAATCTACCTACTGATATTTATTATGTTTTTATTCATGCAAGTTTAATTCGCAGTGTTTTAGTGAAGCACTGTGAAGCATAACCTAGTGAAGCACTGTGAAGCATAACCTTAGTGAAGCACTGTGAAGCATAACCTTAGTGAAGCACTGTGAAGCATAACCTAGTGAAGCACTGTGAAGCATAACCTAGTGAAGCACTGTGAAGCATAACCTTAGTGAAGCACTGTGAAGCATAACCTAGTGAAGCACTGTGAAGCATAACCTTAGTGAAGCACTGTGAAGCATAACCTTAGTGAAGCACTGTGAAGCATAACCTTAGTTATGGTGTGGTGGTGAAGTACGATGCTCAGTCTCAGTGTGCTTATTAAATACTATTGATAAGGATAATAAAAATCTATAAATCAAAAGAATTGTAATAAGTTTCTGAAGTCACAACAACTGATGATTTTCCTGACGAAATATAACCAATAATACCTAAAGACTACTGCTCTTTATATTGACCAATTAGTACAGATGGCCAGACCCAAGTTCCATAGAGACCGTATTCCTGGAACTCGGTTCACTATGAGAACTATGACAAAGGAAGTTGGTTCTTTTTCCAGGCAGCACCGAATGATAACCGACGGTCCATGTTACACCAATACCGACGGTCCTCGGTTCTTTTTTTTTCTAATTTTGAAAAACTAGAATAGGACTGCGTGTTAAAGAGTGTAAGTTACAGATACAAAATATCTGTATCAATTTTGATAAAGAAATAACTTTTGCATTAAATTATTATTTTAAGTGTCAGTTGTGTATATAAAATGACATGTCATTCTATTTTCCATGACAGCTATTTTGAAATACTGCCCCTCTTGAAGGGAAACTAAAAAATTTAACTTATTATTAATTTATTTTCCTAGTTTCATTATATTTATGTTGTATTATTTGAAATTTAACATAAATTTACTAAAATTAAATGTTAATGATTCTCTTATATTTAATGCAAGGACCGAGGAGGTCAAAGATCCTTTCTTCCGTAGACCTGTGACACAGACCGAGGTCTGCTAATTTTGACCAGCACCCAGGCCGTCAGTTTTTGTAGAGGAACTGGTGTCCACCGTTGCCAATAATTAACCAAAAAATATATATAACACTACAGGGTTCAGACTCAAAACGAATTAGTCAATATTGGCAGACAATTGCATGCAATCTAAAGCAACAACTAATGTCCAATCATCACAATAATATCAGCAACATTATTAAAAACATGATAATTATGTTTAAAACATTGATCAAACATTGATTGTAACTTAAATTATAAAGATAAATATTTTGTGATGATTTACAGTCAGTTGTTGGAGGTGCTGAGCTATAAATGGTTAAACCATGAGATATAACAAACCTTGGTTATAATAATACAGTGATGGTGTTACCCATATATCTAGGACTCATCTCAAGAAGGACACACTAATACATTCAATATTACCCATTTATTATTACTCCTGTCATCATTACCGTCAAAGCGCACGATACAACTGTGTTTCTCCACTGCTCAACACAAAGCGTAGTAAAACCGGATAAGATGTTTTCACAGCAGTGATTGATGGGCCGAGCCTCCCGCCAGAAGTCGCTGGGGCCAGCAGATGCGCCGTAGACACTGTTGCCGTCAGACGGGACGATCCCACAACTGTCCCGTAGCTTTCCCTATAGATCCAGACCCCCTTCTAAGATGGGGCTGTCTCAGGATCGTGCATCGTTTCTCTTACATCTTGAACTCAACATACATCTGGCTCTCTGAGGATGCTGAAGGTTCAGTACGCGAGGCGGAAAATAGGCGGGAACTGAAGCTCAGGCCTCCTGGAACAGTCATTTTATTAGTGGTGTGTTCGATACAGTTGATATAGTTTATTATGGTCCGCAAATTACCCGAAAATATTACACCCTCACTCCTTTTAAATCTCCCTGGAAGAATAACTTTTTATAACTAGTCTACCTCTACAGCCCATAAAAATGATATAAACAAGTAAGAGGTACTCGGTGTTCTCCGCGTCTGTCTGTCTTCCATCTGTCCATCTGTCCAATTAAGTGTTACTTGAATTTCTAATTCAGGCTTAAATATTATCGCTGGTTGGACTGGTGAAAATAACCCGAGAGAAAATAAACTAAATTATTAGAAAAAGGTTTGCTTACTTTGGCGATACCAAATGGCAGCAGAAACGAGAGTCACACTGAATACGATGATCAGTAGGAGAGAGAGAGGAACTGTGTAGCCAAGGCCCGCCTGGGTGGTGTCCGCATCTGAGGGGTGTGTTGACGCAGGCTTTCCTCCGGCGGCGGTGTGGTCGAGGAACAGGTGGGGGCAGTCAGGATCTGGGGCTCTGGTGCTGCAGAAAAACGAGCCTTTGGCCACTACCCTAATGTTATGAAACCAGTTGTATACGTACCAGTAATCTATTGGTGAATATTTGGTACAATTATCGACTTTGACCATAATTCCCCACGTATCAGCATTGTTAGGCCTAGCATTTAAGTAAGTGCTAAACTTAAGGGCGTACCAACGACGTCTCTCCTTGAAGCATAGGTCTTCTTTGTTAAACACCCCGTCTTGTTTACCATGGGTTACACTTAACACTATACGAACATAATCAAAGTCATCTTCTGGGTAGAAGTAGAGAGTGCCGCTTTGTTTGTCAGTGTACATAACTACATTAATATTATTACTGACACGAACACCTTCGTTAAAACAGTCCATCCTCTTTTTCCTCCGCAGAAGGGTCATGTCGGGATATAAATGTGTCACAACTGGTTGTAAGGTATTCTGCCCCGAGGACTGTGTCTCACCCATCGGTGTGTTTCTTGTTAGTGGCACATCTCTGGTGGAGACCAGTGGTGGGTGTTGCCTGGGGAAGCGGGCTGGTCCTGGGCTGGTAGTTAATGGGGACTGCTGTAGTCCTGGGCTGGAAGTTGACAAAGACTGTTCGTGTCCTGCGTTGACAGTTAGCGAAGACAGCTGCAGCCAAGAAGAGTAGGGAGGTGTTGTGGGGTTGATGGTTGATGAGAGCTGTGGCAGAGACGCGGAGGATGGAATATGGTCCCCCAAGACTAAGACCAGCGCCCAACACCTCCATAGTATCACACTTAACTTCAGGAGTTTCCCCTCCATCAGAGAGTGTTGATTATAACTGTTGGTATAACCGGTGGCCAGAGGGGCTCCCGACACACTAAGGCGCTAGACCATGATGCAAGAGGGTCCTGCTCTGTTCTGCTTGATGCCAACAGGACGTCTCTTCCTGTTACTGATCTCCATAAACTCTCCGCTTCTTATTGTGTACTTTTCTGTCCTACTCTCAGACTGCGTGTGGTGACTGCACGCTCGTGTATGTAGATGTACGCTTATACACACAATCTTGAGAGCGTGCGCACGTACAGCGGACAGACAAACATACATTAACTTAAACACGCGACATTTAGAAAGGTGGAGTCCAAGAGCTAACAGCGCGGTCCAGCAAGCACGTATAATAAATACTGGATAAGGTAGACAAGGAGAGCCTCTTCAAACTGCAACACATCCTCCGAATTGACAGTACGATTTAATATTAAGTGTAATAAGTACACTTTCTTACTGGCATAAACAGTGCATAATTGCGCTTATGGGACTTACATTTACCCAACTCCCTCCCCAGATTTAATTCTCCTCGTTTTCTGTTAAGACACTCAGAACTTTAGGATGAAGTTTTCAATTTCAAGTTGCTATACAAAAGTTTTAAATATCAGGAATTTCTTTTTCAGGTTTATTAAACAATATAGATTTTATACAAAATTTAAAAATATCCTGAGATACTTTACAATTTATTGATATATTTTAGTTTTGTTTTATTAGTTTTATAAAACTGTAAAATCAATATAGCTATTGGTTAAGTATTAATTGTAATTAAGAAGCAATAAAATTATTATCTTCAAAAACTAAGAAGGTTAGGTGAGGTTGTGGTTTTCTATTCAGTTTTTCAGGTAAACTCAAATATTCACAATATATTTGACAGTACGATTTAATACTAAGTGAAAATAAGTACAATTCCTAACTGCTATGAATAGAACATAATTGCACTTATTTGTCTTCTTACATTTACCACCCCATTTTTGGAGGACGGGCTGGACACAGATGGAATCTCTCTGGCAGTTCGGCTCGTATAGGGATCTAAATGATAGAAGAAAGCAGCCGTAGCAGCTGTCTAACTCCCAGGTACCTATTTACTGCTAGGTGAGCAGGAACATCAGGGTGAAAGAAACCTTCTCCATTTGTTTCCGCCTCCGCTGGGAATCGAAGCCGGGCCATTAGGATTACGACTCCCCAGCGCTATCCACTCAGCCGAGACCACGTCTCGGTGTGGCCACGTCTCATGTGTGGCCACGTCTGTGGTAGAAAATAACAATAAAAAAAAAAACTTAGCCGAGAGGCCCCTGTGTGTGTGTGTGTACTCACCTATTTGTGCTTGCGGGGGTTGAACTCTGGCTCTTTGGTCCCGCCTCTCAATCTTCAATCAACTGGTGTACTGATTCCTGAGCCTATTGGGCTCTATCATATCTACACTTGAAACTGTGTATGGAGTCAGCCTCCACCACATCACTGCCATTCCATTTGTCAACCACTCTGACTCTAAAAAAGTTCTTTCTAATATCTCTGTGGCTCATTTAGGCACTCAGTTTCCGCCTGTGTCTCCTTGTGCGTGTGCCCCCTTGTGTTAAGTAGACTGTCTTGGTCTACACTATCAATTCCTTTGAGAATCTTGAATGTGGTGATCATGTTCCCCGTAACTCTTCTGTCTTCCAGCGACGTTTCAGTTTTTGTTTTTTGTTTTTCAGTTTTGGAAGCCATTTTGTAGCATGCCGTTGTATCTTTTCCGGATTATTTTTGTGCTTCTTGAGATTTGGACACCATACAACTGCTGCATATTCCAATATGGTTCTCAAAAAAGTCATGAAGAGTTTCTTTGGTATTTCACCATCCATATAATTAAAAGCAAGTCTGAAGTTGGAAAGCGACGCACACGCTCCTCTCACAATGTTCTTTATGTGTTCCTCTGGCGACAGCTTACTATCCTAAACCACCCCCAAGTCTTGTTCTTTATTAGAGCTCGTAATTCCTTTCCACATAATTTGTAAGTTGTGTGTGGTCTATTTTCTCCGATTCCACGTTCCATAACGTGGCATTTATTAACATTGAATTCCACTTGCCATTTGTCGCTCTAAGCACTTATTTTATACAGATCAGTTTGAAGGGCATTATAATAGTCTGCGTCTCCTATCCTATACCTATCTTCTGTCTCACAAATTTACTATTTGTGTCTGCAGAATCGAGCTATTAGATCCTGAGCTACTCATCCTGTAAAAATGCATTGCAGAGGGCACGAAAGGTGTTTATCAGACCTCAACGGTGATGATTACATTAACAATTTCATCTATCCTTCACACCTTATAATTACAATGTCAGCTAGTTACAGAGAATGTTCTATTTCAATAGCAATATATTTACAGTTAATCATTATACATTAATGGTAGGTTTTATCGCTAATATATAATTGTTTGAGCAATGGAGATATTACAGTCATAGGGGAGCTGCTGTTTGCTATTATTAGTCTTCACAATACACTACTTGTTTCTTAATCTCATATGTCGTTTATCTACAGGTAGCGAAATATGGACACTGTGCAAGGATTTCAGGTATTTTATCCTTAGTAATAAGATGGTTTACCATTTCATACAGCGTGAAATTAGATTTATCCCTAAATGGCTCAATTTTATTACAGTCCAAGATATAATGTTCTAGAGTGTGTCCTTGTCTTTGTCCACACACTGTACTTTACTTCATCTAGATCCCTCTACAAGCCCAACTGCCAGAGATACTTGTAGCCAAGTTTTATTCGAGCTGTGACAACGTTTGATAGTCTGCTGATGTTGTTACTTGCCCCATGCACATGTTTTACTTGACACATTTCATTGTGATAAACAATGGACCTACTAGTTGCAGTTTGCACTGTTCTGCTAACTTCAAATTCATCCAAGAGTTCTCGTCTAATGATACTTTTAAGGGACCTATTTGATAACTCAAGATTCCGTTCAACACTGTCTTTATTTTCTGCAGCTTTAGCAAGGGTGTCAACTTTATCATGTTCCTGCAGGCCAATGTGAGAAGAAACTCACAACATTTTGATATTTACCCCATTATTAAGTATGTTTATATATCTATGTCTGGCTTCGGAGACAAGCACGTTATTACTAGATTGTAAACTATTTATTACTAATAGTGAGGAAAGAGAGTCAGAAATAATTAAGCTGTCTACTTCAGTGTTGTCAATAATTTCGAGTGCTACCAGTATTGTTACCAGTTCAGCTTGCAGTGTGGATGCCCAGTTACTAACTCTTGTATTCCTTTGAATTGTGCTTCCATGTGGCTGATGAGCAATAACAGCACTTCCTGCCCTCCCTGTAGCTGTATTGAGTGATCCGTCAGTGTAATGATGTTTTTAGTTTGTATATTGTGAATGTGTTCCAGGGTGCTTAATTTAGCAGAAGCTGAGCATGAGGATTGTTTGTGATCAGTTTCTTGGTGGGGTATGCAGGCGTCAGGATGTCAAAAAGTACTAGAGTACTATCTGCCAGGGTGGAAGGAAGTGCTGTACTCTTTCATCTTTACATACATCGTGCAGTCCCATCATTTTAATATGAGTGGCTGTTCTATGAATCCATTTAGACTCGCTGGTTTCATTACGTATGTGTTCTAACAGTTCAACTGCACAATAACGGGATGAAGGAGATCCTGGGCAGGATACACCAGGACTCTGAGCTCACAGGAAGGGCACTGCAGGATGTGATGAATCACCTCATTCGTATATGATTTTTTGTTCTATCCCGAAGAGCGAGTTTATTGGGCAACGTCACTCACCCTGTGAGTGACTAAATGGCTCAATTTTATCCCAATTTTATCACTCACCCTGTGAGTGACTATATTGTTATATCAAAATGTACAGCACCACCCAACGCAGCTGCGTTGTTCATCCCGCCACTTGTTCCCAGACGCAGCTGCGTTGTTCATCACTTGTATCCAGACGCACACGTGAGATACAAGTGACGTCACTTGTACCTCACTGGAGAATGATGTAGAATTTCACACGAACACGAAGAAGAACCTCACACGAATATGGTCAAGCATCTGACACGAATATGTATCTCAGCTCAGGATTCATTCCAGGGGACACTCTTTGGTTCAGTACAGGCTAAGCCTCTTGTATACCTTGAAACATTATGTATACTGTAGCATAATTTCATATATAAAGGAAATTCAAAGACATTAAATCTTAATATTGCATCATGATATCTTTAATTCAGGCCTTTATTGTTAAAATGATTTATACTATATACATTTGTATTGTTTATACAATATTATAAAAGACAGAAATTATTAATAATGTCAGCAGTCTTTAGCAAGAAATGTGATACCTAACGATCGAGTTAAACAGTTACAGCCCCGCTCCTGTGCCAGGTAAGTCCACTACGGGCTCACCATAGCCCGTGCTACTTGGAACTTTCTGTTCCAAGTAACGAATCTTAAACAACAACAACAACATCGAGTTAAAAATCCACTTCGGGCTCGCCATAGCCCGTGCTACTTGGAACTTTAGTTCCGAGTTGCTGAATCTAATCAACAATATCGATCGAGTTAATGTGCAGTTACATTTGTGCAACAAATGAACAATACTTTATGTACAATAAATTTGTATAATATAATTTGTACATTGGTTTGTTTTACAAATTGGTTCAGTTACTGCTTCTCTAAATTAATCAATGAGTAATTACAAAATACATAAAACACTTCATGATGCAGTTCAATGACTAGTGAGTAATTACATACCACATGGTACTGCCTCAGTAATCAGTGAGTAATTAGGAAACTATATATAACTCTACAAGATGGCAGATAAGTGACCAATGAGTAAATGTAAAGCATAAATAACACCACAAGATGGTTGGTATATGATCAATGAGTAATTAAATAAGAGACATACACTGTAACACCATTGATATTTCCATAATTCTGGAATTCTTCCAGAGTTTTGGAAAACGACACATGTAGTTCCAATATTCAAGAAAGGGGACAGAGAGGAGGCACTAAATTACAGAACAGTGTCACTGACAAGTATTCCTTGCAAAATGCTAGAGAGAGTAATGAGGACGAGAAAAGTGGAGCATCTAGAGAGGATGAACTTTGTAATATAATGGCAGCATGGATTTAGAAAGG